TTAATATACTGATAGTTATAGTGTATACTGGCCATGATTTTTGTTTTGCATCCATGTTAGACATAAAAACTCCCAGACCAACGGCACTGTGTAATTTTTTTTAACTATATGTCATCGGAAAATAACAAGAACCGCAAATGTATAAATTTCCTAGGAAATTTATAAACCTTCGTAGGAGAAGAGAGAGAGAAGAGAGAGAAACCTAACCTATGCTCGCCAAGGAGGTGGCTCTGGGACGAAGAAAGCACCGGACTCGGTAGTTCGGTAAGTTTCTCAATTTGCGAAAATGTGGACGTAAAATAATACAATTACGAGTATATGTCATTTAGAACCCTACGAATGTTTATAAATTTCCTAGGAAATTTATACATTTGCAGTTCTTGTTATTTTCCGGTGATATATATATATATATATATATATATATATAAGTATTTATCTATAATATGTATGGATTTAAAAATAGATCATTGGGATCAGACGTGTGTGAGATGTGTGAGATATTTTTTTTATTATTATTATTTTAACCTGTGATCTTGGATAAGGCATTCTTTGCCCGTCAGGTTATTTGAACATCAGTATTTTAATAGCTAATAAAATAATTCAAACAGCTACAAGAGTAATAAGACTTCCCTTCATTTTAATTCTCCAATCGGTAAATAAAATAGGAACCTAGGGGTTGTTGTGGCCTTGAACGGTACATCTTAAATGGGGTTTACGAAATCAATATAAGTAAATCAAGGGATGGACATGCTTTTACTTCTATGATCAACCCTCTGTTTATTTAGCCCTACCCTGATGAGTCACAAGTTGTAGGAGAAAATCAATTCTGCAATCGTTACGCTGACAATAGGACAAGGAGTGGCGGGAACAATATTCATTCGTATTTGCAGGAAATAATAAAAATACAAAATTCCGTAAAATCTTTAATTTAAAATTCGCTTTTTTAATTCTCTCGAATTAAAAAAGCGAATTTTAATTTATTTTATAACAAAATATGAAGATTAGTCACAGTTACGATTAAACTACATGAAATAAAGTTATGATTTCTCCCCAAAATTAACTACATATCTGTGAGTAAAAGTTGCCTTCAAAAATGTTTTTGATTTTTACTGGGAAATTACCCTGCCTTCGAATAGCATAAATAAATAAAATATCCAATTACAAATTGTTCCTTGAGGGCTTTTAGGCTTTTTAAAAGGTGCAAATTTACTCCTAACAAGCTAAAATTTATAATACTAAATAGTATCATTGGAGACACTTCTCACACGTCTATTTAGGTATGAGTATATTACAGAGTAAAGTAAGTTGAGTGCTGATAATCATATTTATACATATGTTACTAAAGTGAGTATACATACATAATGCAAATAAATTATATCTAAACACAGAATAAGTGACCGTTCTTAGCACACAATTATTTGTAATATGTGAGAATCCAGCTCCAGCTCAGCAGTAACTACTAGCCCGTCAAGCTAAAGGGTCAGACCGGCTGTTGGCGTGGCGACCAACGCCTCGACATTCTCAAGTGACTCTCTCTTTTTAATTACGCTATAATAATTATTTCCTTTTAAAAGCTGTTCTTTTATACTCATTATTTCTCCAAAAAATTTCGATGTGATGTGATGTGACACAGATAACTCACATCTGACAGATGTCCCCCGAACGCTCAATTTTTAACTAGTTATGTCTGTCGCTAGCTTCAAAAAGTTTATTGCAATATATGTTTTTAACAACCGAGACTATCTAACATAGGATTAGATAAAGTTTCAATACATTGATTAACGTAAGTAGATACATTTTCGTTCATTATAAATTTCAAAATATAGTGTCATCTTAAGCTCTAGAATATCGACTTCTTTTTATATTATGGTCAGTTATGGATTATAATGAATTCTTATATTCTTAAAATTTTAAATTAATGGCTGATAAAAGCTGCTAAAATAAAAAACTTACATAAGTAGTTACGTAAAATCCAAATCTCCAAACATAACACTGTTTACTTAAAGTAGCACTTATAAAACTTTAATTATTTATAATATCAATTTAATTACTAATGAAATCATAAACTAAACTCACTACCTATCAGTTATTTAGTATTAAAAAAAAACAAGATTTAAAAACCGACAAAAAGGCGGCAATCCAGACTGATACGTCACACGGGCGCGCGCTTCGCTACTCGCTAGTCTATGACAAAAATGGCGGGTTATTTATTTTTATTCAAACTTTGCATGGGGTTGTGGTGGCTTTAATTTGGGGCAACAAGTGAGTAGAATTATCGGATCCGCGCATGCGTGGTGGTCTCGACGGGTAAGTACGCAAATAAGACAGTAAATTAATCGCTAGAAATAGCGAAATCGCGTGGGGTCGATGTAAATTGTATGATTTCATTAGAAAATTATGAAAGCGCAACTTTACGCTTTAGACACTGTATATTGACACATTTGTTGTAGATACATTATTAATTATCCGTAGAAAGTAATAAACTATATTAATTTCTCACCTTACTAAATATTTCTTCTTTTAACATTGATATAATACTTACACTCTTAACTCAATGTCTTTTAACATTATTTAATACACATTACTATTTTAAGTTTAGTTTGTTATGTTATCTTTACATTTAAAAATAACATAACATGTTCGGAGCGGCGTGTTTAGCAAATTTTAAATTCAATTCCTCTTGGATTCTTTTTAATTATGGGTAGGTTAAGTACCTACTTACATTTTGAAATGCACGATTTTTTTATTTTTCATGTTTATTTTGTTTTATAAATACTGTCACGTCTGAAAGGTCATTGTGCTTGTGGCAATGAGTACCTACATTTCATATTTCAAATCTCATCAAATTGCTATTTTTAGAATGTTCTAGATTTATGAAGTATTTACAACTCCTAGTAGGTTTAACATAGGTATGTAAGCAGGTACGAGCCTGGTAGTTAGGCTATCGTTAACGGGACGGTCCAAGGGTCCTCCCGTTTCTACTATGACACACCATGTGGTTTTTAGTCGATCTAGATCCGTCATATGGCCTCACCGATAGCCCCAATGAGGAATCGGGTATACCTCACTGGGGCTATGGACTAAGGGTTTCCACACGACAGAAAAATTCTCAAAACCGCGTTTCTATGACTCTAACTCACTGACTGTTTCCACAAAATGCCTGCCTCTAACCGATATTTATTTGATTATAGGTACAAGTGCAGATTTTGTATTTGAGTTTTAATTTTGTTGTAAAAGTGTATACTTGTACATCTAAATATATTACTCCGTATTTGGAGCCTAGGTATTCATAGCACGGGCATATGCGCCATGCAAAAAAAAAACACTAAGTTTTTTTATCACAATATATGCAGAATACATTTTCTATTCATGGTTCTTAAATCATTTGTGTTCTGAACAAAAAGTCTAATTAATCAAATCCAGTGAATACGAGAATCATTAAGGATTTCTTTTCTTTACCATGGTCGAGTGTCATGGTGGGTCGCCAGGAATCACGCTTCACGAAGCATGGTGCACGCGTTACGGCGGCCATATACCTATGGTGAGTTATAAATAATTGATACTGCTTTTTATAGCCCCATGGCATCTTTACTTGTATAGATAGTGAGTGTTTCTTAATAATCAAACAGTGTACAGAGACAATATTGACTGGCATGTTGGTCTAAATATGTTATATGTTATCTGTTTGTTATGTTGTTGTTATGTTATGTTAATATGTTGGTATCGTTGTTGTTGTTTAGTGGTTAATGATTCTAACTGCTAAACCAGAGGTCTTGGGTTCGATTACACCCACCCAGTACAAATAGTTGGGTGATGAGCACGATCAATTGTTCTGTGTCTGGGAGTAATTTACCTATAACATGTATGTATTTAGAAATATTTAAGTATGTTTATCAGCAGTCTGGTTACCATAGTACAGGCTCTGCCTAGTTTGGGATCAGACGGCCGTGTATGAGTTGTGTCAAGACTCGGCCATTTTAGGCGTTATTTGTTTGACTTCGGTAACATTATTTTTTCTAAATAAAGATATATTTAATAACATTCTAGATTACATGTTGTAAATATAGGCACGCTGGCCAGACGGGTTGGTATAGGGATTTTTTTCAAATTTTCCTTCTCTTTTAAGTGCTATTGCTCTGCGTAGATTGCTCCCTTAGTCGGCTCTCCGTCACCCACACGGAAGGAATAGGGGTAGTGTCACACCGTATTCTTAATCCGTCACCACACCGCTGCCGTACCAATCCAAAAGACTGTAACTCGACTTACAGTGTTTTGCCTTAACAACGCTTAATCAGTTTCTTTGCGTCGGTTTAGTACCCCTGATCAACACTTGTTATTCTAAAGTGTATTTTAGAAGAGACAATAATCTAAAAAATACTGTATTGTATTGAAATTAGGGTTTAGCATGGTAAAAAACTGTAACAAAGCTTTTAAAGTCAAAAGTCGTTTTCAAAAGTCACAGTGTAATGGAATGGTACGGCAGACCGACGCTTTTGTTAATACCGGAGATTTAAATCAAATAATTTAATGTGTACACTATTATTTTCATTTATTTTAAAAGGTAATAAGTAATTTCAAATATAAATAAAGAATATACTGCAAATATAAACAAAAGCTGATGCTTGCCATAAGATTTACAAACAAACAGATTGATTAGTCAATTGAAGAAAGATTTAACCTTACCTAATCTATGAGAAGCGCAATGCTTCTATTAACAAAAGTCAAGCGACAACGAATAAAAGAAGAGACAGAGAAGAGAATAGAAGAATAACGCAATCCAAAAGGTGTCTAAAATAACAAATATTTATTTGAGCCGTAGTGACTGTGTTTACGCAACGCATCCAAATAAGTCACTCAATAATCTACTAATCAGGCCAAGAATAATTTTATGCGCGTTTTGGTGACTTTATAGCGCTAAGCCGCTTATCAAAGCGTCATTTGTTGGTTGGTTTGATTTAGGTTAGATAGATAGCTAAACTAAATTTTAAAAGTTTTGAGGACTAATACGTTGGTGCCTTCGGGATGTTACTGAATATCTCGGCAAAACCCCTTAGATTCGATGACGGTAACTTGGTTGTCTTCGTAGCCTCCTGAAAATTCATTTCTTTTTGGTGGATCGCTTCAGTGCTTGGGGTAACATTTGCTTCAATGGAAATGTCTGAACAAGAGTAGAAGTGTTCTTGTTTTCCACATTCAAGACCTGTCGTTCCGTCGGCACAGACTCCCCAGTTGTTACCTGCCGTGTACAGCCACTGAAGAACACAGTGTTTACAAGTCAGTTTAGCAGGTAGGCGATAAGTGACGTTATAAGATCCTGCACCTCGCCTTGGGTAATATTTAGTCGCACCATGTTCAAGTTCTAAAAGATAGCCGTTGTCGAAGCAGGATTGCTCTTGTTCGTAAGGATGAGGACAAATGCGTAGTTCCCAAAAGCCGTAGTGACTGGCGCTGAGTTTCACATTTGTAGATATGAGTTGGCCAGCTTTGTAGTTGGCGACGATGTACCCAATGCCGTACATACCTCCAAGTTCATGTGCGCGGGGCTGTGGCTCGTCGTAAGGATCACCGCAGACGCCGCATCTATAATTCATATACATTATAAAGAAGTATAAAACGAATTGCTAGTTTTGTTTGCATAAAACGTTCAATAAATTGTCTAGTCACTGTCTTCTGTGAGATAGACCTCTATCTCACCTGCACCTGCAGCAGACCTGAAGCACCTGCTTCTTAGGTTTAGAGGGGATCCTTTTGTATTTCCAAAATTTCTAAGACAAGCGCCGAGAAGTAGAGCTCAGAATAGAGCTCTACTTCTTGGCGCTTGTTTTAGAAATTTTATCAAAGATTTAGCAAATTCCCAATTGAAGTTGCTCTTATAGTGAAAATGATCGTTAATCTTTTTGAGTAATCAAATATTCTTTAATCAGGTAATTCGATGTTAACTACTCATAAATATTCCTAATGAGAGTGTGTCAGGACAATCGGGCTCTGTGAGACCCTGAGTACGACTGTCTGAAATACTGCCTTGTACACCATGAACTATAAAACAATCAGTTTAATATCCACATAATAATAAACAGCCTTTACTAGTCTACTGCTGGACATAGGCCTCTCCTTAGAAAGAAGGTTTTGGCCTACTATATAACGCTGGCCAGACGGGTGGGTATAGGGTTTGTTTCAAGTTTTCCTTCTCTCTGCAGTGCTGTTGTCCTGCGTATTTTGTTTAATATCCAGCATTATTTAATACTAAAATGATTGCATTCAAATTCAAGAACTTACTTTCCCCCATTAAGAACATGCTGACGGGTGAGTCCCCCGCAGTTCGCGGCAGTATCATCATAGTCTTGTGGTGAATTGTAACCTAGACGAAATAAAGACCCTCTGTTGGGTGGGTCCATAAGCATGCCGTGAGCTTGGACGTACACAACCCCGCAGGCAAACAATAAAAGTGAGCTCAAACCCATCTGCAGGACAGACACAAAAACAAATGTATTTGACGAATTACTGATCTTAGATATCCAACGAATGGACGGACGGTTCCTTAGAGAAGAACCTTTATGTATGTCAGGAATCCCTACGCGCCACTCTAACGCACACAAAAAAAGTAAAAGGCAGACATTTTTGGCAAAAAATCCCTACGAATCTCAGGATATACATAGCAACCATTTTTTGCAGATTTTTCTGCTCTTCGCTTAATAGTGATGTTTGATGATCGACGGGTATAGTTAAATATTCGCGTTTGTAAGACAAGGCATATAGTCTAATAAGTATTAAAATATGTAGTCCACAATTTGAGTGTCCAATGAAAAGGAACTCTCGTGTTTTATATTGTGTAAAAAGGTTTCCTTTACTCATTGTGAAAATCTCAGCAAGTACAAAATCTCTGATTATGTATTCAATTATGTACCTAATAATTTAACAAATTTTCGAAAGCATCGAATTAGTCATGAATGCTACTTATTAACATTTCATTATTTTTTTTACATACTCACCGTATTGATATACCACAGATCTATTTTTTAAACTGCACTCCCTGTCTTGAATCTGTTTTCAACTGCCGGTTTCTGAATAAATACAAGTACTTCAGTAGTATAAATACTAGTAAATTTGTAAAGATATGCACTGTGTCTAAAGGTAATGAATGCAATTCGACTCATAATAAAAATATGAAAGACAACACAGGAGCGTTAGAAATTAAATTATCGTTACACAACACTACGTTTTACGAAACACAATGTATCTATTCACAGAGAATATATTCATAAAATTATTTATTTAAGATAATACAATCTTCACGGTTTAACTGATAATATGAAATAAAGAAAAAAAATACAGTAAGAAAAATAATTGTATATACAATATGTCACCAATGAACGAATGTCACTGTATAGTACCTAAAATCTTAGGAAATCTGTTAAATTTTAATTACTTTTTTATGGTATATACAAACGAGCAGATCACCTCATGATAAGTGACTGTCGCCGTCCAAGGGCACCTGCAACTCAAAGAGTCTCTAGTGCTGAAATAATCTTATTATCAAGTCTTTGATAGTCCACTGCTGGACATTGGCCTCTCCTTAGAATGGACGTTTTGGCCTACCATACCAGACGGGTTGGTATAGGGTTTGATGGGGTGCTGGGCTAGAAAACCTCCTCGTGGTGCACCCTGGAAACGCTGGCGATGGTACTGTTTCCTCCTTGTCCTCTTGGAGGAGAGGATTATCGCCAGCGGCCAATATTCTAGCAGAAGAGGCAGCCGTTCATCGGCTCTCGGGCAAGGCCTGGTCCAGCAGGGTGGGCGTGTCTGCCGGTTGCCCTGCTGGTTCTTCGCTCTTCGGAGCATGGAGGAGGAAACCTCGGTAAAAAACCTGATGGCGGGGCCCTGTAGGGGCCACAGTTTCTCCGCTGACAGCGGTGGAGAAAGGAGGACGGGCTCGGCGTGTACTCACACTACCACCGAGCAGGCAGGGGGACGTAGTCTCCCTGTCAACCGTCGGCATATCGTAATCCCGAGAAGAGCGCTGTGGTTAAGTCTCGCGGCTCTGATCGGGGGCGAGGGTCTTGGCTTAACCGCCCGGACCGCGAGGAAGATAACCTCTCTAAAAAATTCCCCGAATCCCGTGTTCTGGTGCGTGGCCAGGGGATGCATGGCTGATGGGAAGTTCAGTCGCGAGCGCACTCCAAGCCGAGGTACCTGCGGACACCTCGGTTGGGTTAAAAACTTACGCTTGCCCGGGTAATGGGGGATCTCTGCCCGGGTGGACCTTTAGTTCTCCCCCACTCGTGGGATCAATTATGCAATCTTTAACTAAAAATACCAAGAAACGATCGGAAACAAACAAACAACAGACAAAGGCAAGCCTAACGGACAAGGAGACGAAGAGCAGGAACAGTGGAGTGGATGGGTCGTCCACTGAGGGCGAGATGGTGCCGGGAACGCCTATCTCGATGGGGCTCCCAGAGGTCAGTCTGACTCTGGTCACTGGGAGCCGAAGAGCATCGGATCGGCTGCGCTCCGGATCCGCCGTTTCGTCGGATGGCGCTGACGCCATGGAGGCGGAGCGAAGCGACAGCCGGAAACGAGGACGCTCCAGGGACGAGGAAACCGACACGTCCCAGGAGATGATGCCACCGAAGGTGGCAAGCAGCCGCCGAGGGAGGGCACGCAAACCTGCCTCGGCCCCGGTCTCGACCCCGTCAGGCTCCGCGTTCTCAAACGCGGAGTCGTACAGGAACGTACGGGTGGACGGCGAGGCCGTAGCGGAGGAGGAGATCGCGGATCTCCTGCTCAAGGTTCGGGAGCCGGTGGGGGGAAATGCCCCCCAGGCTCCCGTGTCCGTGCAGGAGAGGGCGAAAGCGGCGGTGGCCGTCATTCACAAGGTGGCCACCAAGTCCGTGAACCTTAAGGGCTCGTTTGTGAGGGCCCTTAAGGACTCCTCCTCCGCTTTGTCGGAGGTCGTGGAGGGCCTAGCGGGCGACGTCTCTCGCCTGCAGGTGGCCAACGAGAGGCTGACGGAGCGGGTGAACGAGCTGAGCGCTCAGTTCGCCCGCTTCCAGGCGAACCTCCCCGAGCGGGAAGCCCCGTCCGCGTCCCAGCCTGCCCCTACCACCAACTCAGGGGCATTTGACTCCCAACTGCGTGAAATCCTCATCGCAGTTGGGAATATGCTGGACGGACGCCTGGCGGGGCTGGAGGCGAGACTGCCCCCTGCGCCGGTTGTGCGCCCCCCGCTCGCGTCGGCACAGCGGCCTAAGGCCGCCGCTCCGACCGCGCTCCCCGTAGTGGGAGGCCGCGTCTCCTACGCGGCGGCGGCGTCTGCCCCGACTCCATCGGCTCCCCAAAAGTCGAGGAGGGGGGCCAAGGCACCGGCCCAGGCGCCGGCCAAGGCACCGTCCCAGGCGCCGGCCAAGGCGCAGGCCAAAGTGCCGGCCAAGACGGGGCCTAAAACGGCGCCGAGGAGCGGAGTGGCATTCCCTCCGCTCCCCACTCCGACACCCCTGCCGGGCCCCTCCGCACCTGCCCCCTCCAACGAGGGCTGGCAGGAGGCGAGGGGCTCCAAGAAGTCCCGAAGGCGGGCCAGAAGGGCTGCCCAAAAAGCAGCCCAAGCCCAGCCTTCGCCACCGGTGGCAACGGCCTCTGCAAAGAGGCCGCGGAAGCTGCAGCCGCCCAAAACCGCGGCTGTAGTGGTGACCGTGTCCCCGGAGGCGGCTAACGGCGGGCTGTCCTACGCGGCCGTTTTTAAAAAGGCCCGGGACAGCCTCGCCAACGACTTTGGGACGGTGGGGGTCAAAATGCGCCTCGCCCAAACGGGAGCTCGGGTTCTCGAGTTCCCAGGGGCTGAAGGCGCCAAGACGGCGGACACTTTCGCTGAGAGGCTGCGGGGTTTATTCGCGACCACAGATGGTGTCAAGATCGCCAGGCCTACCAAGTGCGCGGAGCTGCGCATCTCGGGCCTGGACGACTCTGTGACGGCCGAAGATGTTCGCGCTGTAATCCGGGAGAAGACGGGGTGCAGCGCGGACAACGTCAGGGTTGGCACCATCCGCCCCGGTCCAGGGGGGCTTGGCGCCGTGTGGGTCAGCTGTCCCGTAGCGTCGGCCAAAGTATTGGCTGACGCCGGCAGGCTGCTCATCGGTTTCGTGAGCGCTAGGATCACAGTCCTGGCGGCGAGACCGATGAGGTGTTACAAATGCCTAGCATCGGGACACACGCGCGTCAAGTGCCAAAGCTGCTTCGACTGCAGCGGACTATGTTTCCGCTGTGGTCGACCGGGGCATGTGGCGGTGGAATGCTCTGCCGCTCCTCACTGCCCGGTGTGTGCGGCGGGTAACAAGCCCGCCAATCACCAGATGGGGAAGGGGGGCTGCAAGCCTCCCCGCAACTCTCAGCAAGCATCGGGGGCTAGCCAGTCGACCCAGGCTGCCTCCGATGTAGTTCGTGCGTCGACGTCGTCGCCCATGGAGGAGGCTGTAGAGACGATCCAGTAATGGATCGGGTCTCCAGCCTCCTGGTCCAGACGAACCTGAACCACTGTGCCGCGGCGCAGGATCTCTTCCTGCAAACCATGGCACAGTGGTCGATAGGTGTTGCCGTAGTCGCGGAGCCCTATTCTGTCCCTCCCCGTCCAAACTGGATGGGTGACCGGGACGGCTCCGTGGCAGTCGTCGGTTCCACGACGGCTCATTCCCCGCCCTTGTCGCTAAGAGACAAGGGCACTGGATATGTTGCCGTCGAGTGGGGGGGGATCACCATATATGGTGTTTATTTCTCCCCCAACCGGAGTTTGAACGACTTCGAGGTTTTCCTAACCAGCTTGGAGACCTCGATACGGCGACTAGCGTCTGGGCACGTCCTTGTGCTGGGGGACTTCAACGCAAAGTCCATTGCGTGGGGTTCCCCCAGGACGGACGCAAGGGGCGAGGCCGTAGAGGAGTGGGCGGCCTCGGTGGGCCTCTGTCTTCTCAACAGAGGCTCCACCAACACGTGCGTGCGACAGCAGGGGGGGTCGATAGTGGACCTCTCGTTCGCTACCCCTGCCCTCGCCGCACGAGTAAGGAACTGGCGTGTCCTGGAAGAGGTTGAGACGCTCTCGGATCACCTGTATATCCGATTTGAGCTCTCCCGGACCCAGGACTCCAGTAGGGGTCACGTGGCGCGGCGTTTATCCCGCTTTCCGCGGTGGGCTGTTGCCAGACTGAACCGGGACCTACTAGAGGAGGCAGCCATAATACACTCGTGGCTGTCTCCACAGGCTCCGACCGAGGAGGTTGACGTGGGGGCTGGTCGCTTTCGCGATGCGATTACGCATATCTGCGATGCGGCCATGCCCCGCATTCGAGGTCGTCGGCCTCCAAGGAAGGAGGTCTACTGGTGGTCCCAGGAGCTGGCGGACCTCCGTGCGGCCTGTACACGTGCCCGGAGGTCCTACACACGCAGTCGGCGGCGTCACCGTGGAGACGGTGAGGAGGACCGGCTTCATGAGGAGTACCGACGGGCTCGGAAAACTCTGAAGCTGGCCATTAGCCGCGCCAAAGAGGAAAAGAGACAGATGCTGGAGGGTCTTAATCGTGACCCCTGGGGTCGCCCTTACCGCGCGGTGCGACAAAAGCTCCGCGCGTCGGGCCCCCCCCTTACGGAGACTCTCCAGCCCAGCTTCCTGCGAGAAGTGGTTGAGGGCCTTTTCCCACAACGAGCGGAACACACTCCCCCGTCGATGGCCTCCCTGGCCGGAGACGACGGGGAGCACGGGGAGGACAATGTTCCGCCCGTCCGGGATTCGGAGGTAGGGGCGGCTGTTCTACGGATCCGTTCCAAGAACACCGCCCCTGGGCCAGACGGGGTACCGGCCCGAGTGCTGGCCCTGGCCCTCAACCACATGGCAGACCGCCTCGGGGAGGTGTTCGACGCTAGCTTGGCGTCGGGACGCTTCCCTGAGTGCTGGAAGAGCGGGAAGCTGGTCCTATTGAGGAAGCCGGGACGGCCTGCCGATTCGGTCGCGGCCTATAGGCCCATCGTGCTGCTGGACGAGGCGGGCAAATTGTTTGAGAGGGTTCTTTCTGCCCGCATCGTCCGGCACCTCTGCGAGGTGGGCCCCGATCTGTCGGACGCCCAATTTGGTTTTCGGGCGGGGCGTTCGACAGTCGACGCCGTGTTGCGCCTGAGGGCCGTGACCGAAGAGGCCGTGAGCTGTGGCGGCGTGCTGTTGGCGGTGTCATTAGACGTCGCCAACGCATTCAATAGTCTGCCATTCAGCTGCATCAGGGAAGCACTCCACTATCATGGGGTGCCAAAGTACCTGAGGCGGCTAGTGGCAGACTATTTAGAGGAGCGTACCGTCGTGTACGAGGACCGAGAAGGTAATTTGAGGTGTCGGCCCATGTCGTGCGGTGTTCCACAGGGGTCTGTTCTTGGACCCCTCTTGTGGAACATAGGGTACGACTGGGCCCTTCGCGCCGATTTCCCCCCCGGGCTGGGTGTAATCTGTTACGCAGACGATACACTGGTTACAGCCCGGGGGGCAAACTTCCAAGAGGCGGCGCGCCTGGCCACAGGGGGAGTCTCCCTGGTGGTCGGGCGCATTGAGGCGCTGGGCTTACGGGTGGCCCTAGATAAGACGGAGGCCCTGTTATTTCATGGGCCCCGTCGTGGTCCACCCCCTGGCGCCTCAATCGTGGTCAACTCGGTCCTCGTACCGGTTCGGGCCCAGATGAAATATCTGGGCCTGATCCTCGACGGGAGGTGGCTCTTCGACGAGCACTTCCGACAGCTTGCTCCAAAGCTGGTCGGCGCTGCGTCTGCCCTAGGGCGACTTTTGCCCAATATGGGTGGACCCAGCGTCGCGACAAGACGGCTGTACACGGGGGTTGTCCGGTCAATGGCACTGTACGGTGCACCGGTGTGGGCGGCGGCTTTGACCGCCCAGAATAGGGTACGCCTCTGGCGCCCTCAGAGGGTAATGGCGGTCAGAGCCATACGCGGTTACCGCACCGTGTCGACGGAGGTGGCATGCGCGTTGGCCGGAACTCCCCCGTGGGATTTGGAGGCGGAAGTGCTCGCCGAAGTTTATCGGCGAGTGGCTGACTTCCGGGCGGAGAGCGGATTTCGCCCTCCGCCCGAGGATGTGCGCGAGTGGCGCGAAGCCGCTCGCCGAGCCACGATGGCTCGTTGGTCGTTCCGGCTGGAGACTCCACGCGCTGGCTTCGCCGCCGTGGAGGCTCTCCAGCCGGTCATCGCCGAGTGGGCAGGGCGGCAGCACGGGACCCTTTCCTTCCGGCTGACGCAGGTGCTTTCCGGGCACGGTTGCTTCGGAAAGTACCTGCACACGGTCGCAAGGAGGGAACTGAGTCCCGCCTGCCACCACTGCGACTGCAGTGAGGACTCGGCCCAGCACACGCTGGCGGTCTGCCCCGCATGGGCGGCGCAGCGTCGGGCCCTCACTGCAGTCATCGGAGTGGATCTCTCGCTACCGGCCGTAGTACGCTCCATGGCCGGTAGCGACAGTTGTTTTACCGCGGTCGCTACCTTCTGCGAGGTAGTAATCTCGCGGAAGGAGGCGGCGGAGAGGGCCCGGGAGGACGACCTCCACTCGGACCCGATCCGCCGCCGGCGAACCGGGCGGCGGAGGCCCGCCTATCACAGCCTCATGCCGCCCTGAGTGTGGCCGCGGGTGGACGGGGTGGGTTTCCCCTCCACCCGCATTAGTTTGGCCAGCCGCGAGGGGGCGGCGTCCGCGTGTGCCGGACGTCGCCTATAAAGAGAGGAAAAACATCGAGACGGAGCCCGCACCAGGAGCGGGCTGGCGCTAGGAGGGGTCCGGATGTCTTAACAACAGCTGTTCCCGGATCCCTCCTGTTACAGGCGCAGAGTGGCACACCGTGTGGTTTTAGTCGGTCCGAGTCCGACACACCACCCCGCCGCAAACCCCGGAGGGGTGACGGTCCGAGGGGATTTCCACACGTTAAAAAAAAAAAAAAAAAAAAAAAAAAAGGGTTTGATTCAAGTTTTCCTTTTAGCAGTGATATTGTCCTGCAGAGTTTGCCCCCTTAGTCGGCTCTTACGGGACCCTTGGGATGAATAGGGGTGGTGACACTCCGTAACTATTCTTATCCGTGTGGACATTAATCCGTCACCACACGGACAATAACAAATATTTAAAACCCAGTAATGTGGCGAAGAAAACTGAACGGGTCGTCTGGCATACCCCGCTGAGTTGTAGTTTTTTTTCCAGAACATACTAAGTGTGTCTCACTGTATATCATTCCATATTTCCATAAATCCTAACGTTATGCCATGGGTGTGCCACCGCAAAAACAGTAAAGGGTGTTAAAGTTCACTGCTCACTGACCTGAGCACGAGACACGCAAAAACTGCAATTAATTCATTTTTTAAGAAAACATTAAAGCAGCGCAAACTGCTGGTAACGAGACCGTGAAAACTAAGTAATATCTCTTCCTTTGTTTTTTTTTAAATTGATTATTAAAGGGTTTTGGGTCGTCTGAACAAAGAGAACAATAAATTGTCTAAACCAAATCAATGTACCTGAGATCGCGGGCTGATACGCTGGAATGAATTAATAGGAAATAAAATTAAAGGAAATAAGTATAGTTTATATTTATTTTTGTTACTGACAATAATAAATTTTCAACATCGACACCTGAAAGGCAATTTTTCGATTTCGACTTTAATCCATTTCACATATTAGTGTCTTTTAGTATGAATTGCCTTACAAGCGTCGCGGCGTCGACAAAATACTTACAAACGACATCCAAAATCTTAATGTTTCAAAAGAGTTATATAAAAATAAATAACAAATAAGTGTACGCTAATAGTGTAAATAAATTTTAAAATAAAAGTGATTTATTAAAAGTAATAAGAGCTACAATATTAATATGTAATATTAACTGGTGCCTTCTGTTTAGTGCACTGTTGAAGTCCCAATACGCACGTGTGGTCTCCGCAAGGGCAATATGGGACAGGTGGATCTGACAACAATATTATTAATATGTATTTATTAATGTACAAGCATGTCTGGTTAGCGTAGTAAAGGCCCTGCCTAGTTTGGAATCAGCGACGGTGTGTGAAGAGCGTCAAGTAACGTCCTATAAGTTTGGTACGTCATTATTGTCATTATTGGAGCCGTTACTAAAGATGTCCCATAAGATAAAACTGCTGAAGTTTTCGTCCGAACACATGGCACAACAGGCCGTCTAGAACGAGACGGGTTAATACCTGTCGGTGTAGCGGAACAGCGGCAAGAGAAACAGCGTGACACCAGAATGGTTTTTAGTCGGTAAGAATACGACAGACCCTGTTGTTCCCCTTAGAGCTTCCACCCCATCAAGAAGAACTAAAATAGTTGAAATTATAATTAAGTTCTACCTAGTTCTACATACCTGGTACCTACGTACCAGGTATGTAGAACTTGAGCCCGTAACTGCCACTGGCTCGAATCTGGTCTTACTTTCGTTACAAATTCTTTTCTGTTCTTATTTACATCTAAAATTTTTTTGTTTCTATAAGTACAAACACTGAAATGTTTTCCGTAAAACTATTGTGACATTCCAAATGAAACTACCTAATAACGAGCGGAATATTTCATACCTTCAGTTAAATCATCATCATAGTAAATCAGGATGGCGGGTATATGGATGTTCTCAGCCAAAGCTACATCACTGAATCTATCGCGTTCATCAGGTATGTTGTTTTCCGCCAATGTCTTGTTATAGCACAACGGTTTGCCTAAGTACCGCCAAGTGTAGGACGACAAGTGTCGATTGTGGGGGAAGTATCTCATCATCACCTCATACAAGGTCTCTTCTGAACATACCTCCAGAGTTACTGTTGAACCTACATGTAGAATAGCATATTAACTTTTAAAGATGAAATAAAATCATGTTTAAATATAAAATTAAAAAGCAGTAAGAAATGACGCGCCTGTTAGCATAGTGTTAGTTTTTAGCGATCCTGACTGCAAGACAAATATTGTATGATTAGCACAATCATTTTCAGGGTTCCGTACCTCAAAAAGTAAAAAAGGGACCCTTATAAGATCACTTTCTTATCCGTCTGTCCGTGTGTCACAACCGATTTTCTCAGGAACGGGCAGACCTAGCAACAAGGGCGTCGCCAGCCGATGGCGCAGGGGGGGGCAAGTTGACTTTACCTACTACAATTCATACTTTTCTCATTCTCTATGAATGAGAAAAGTAGGTATGAATTGTAGGTAAAGTCGACAGCACATGAAGCTTTTCACTTGTACTACGAGCCTTACATCTACAGAGATTGTAATAACAACAGTATCTTCGTACTATATACATATATATTCTGTGACAGTACAGAGTCCAATGTGTGAAGCTACACGAGCACGAGCTCTTGACTATGCAATAAAAACTTGTAAATAAGTTATAAAACCATTTATTAGAAAAATAGAATAAAAAGGAGTTTGAATTTGAATAAGTGTACAGCGTACAGCGTATTTTTTTTTTAATTACCAGATTTTAATATTATAGTGGTCGTTGTTTGTTTATGTTAGGTTAATTAAAACATAATTTTCGGGGATTCATTGTAAACTTCTCGACCACTTTATTATTAAAATCTTGTAAGTTTCCATGTATACGTTTTCGGTGCACACTCATCATGGCCAAACCATTGAGGCGATTTTCACTCATAGTGCTTCTTAGCCAGGCCAAAGCAGAGTATTTAGCTATCAAAGTAATACAAAGTATAAACGAAATTTTGAAAGCAGCCGCATGGAGTTGAAAGGCGTTTTTTCGAGTTGCACTGTTTCCTTCACGCGATAAGTTTTCTAAGGCTTCCAATATAACAGGAAAATTCTCCTTAAATACTCTGATAGTTTTATGTTTCTCACTCCATCTTGTTTCGCAGAGCCTGGCAATATTAGGTACCAATTTTCTTCTCAAAACAGATTCCCGAAAAAAAAAAAAAATATCTTTAGTGGTTCCCATGATGCTTCGAATTTCAGGAAGAATATTGAGATCATTTATTACCAGATTCAGTTTATGGGACGAGCAATGAAAGAACAATGCTTTGGTATATTCTTTGCGCAGGATCGCTTGTACTCCACCGTCTTTTCCGGACATCGTCGAACAACCGTCAAATCCAAAACCAACGCATTTATCAGCAGGATTAAGGTCTTCTTTTGTCAGAAACTCATCGATGCAATATGCAATAGATTTCGCATCCAGACCTTTCAGCTCAACAAATCCGACGAACATTTCTTGGACCTCATTGGCTTCCTCGTCAAAATATCGCAGCCCAATCGATAATTGTTCAGTACCGGAAATATCAGCTGTTTCGTCTGCTAACACACTATAAGCTTCTGCTTCTTTTACTTTTTTCACAATGTCTGCCTTAATAACATCTCCACAAATTGCGATAATTTCATTTTGAATATCAATCGATCGATAGCTTGCATTCTTTTTCCCATGCTCAATGTGTTTCTTCAAAACTAAATCTCCCGCGTCAATTCGTAGCTTGTATAAGTCCTCGAGAATACCTTCGCCATAATGTTTTCCTGTCAGAGCTAAGTCGTGCGACCCGCAAAACGTAATGCAGGAAATAATAGATGTTAAAATTTTTCGGTTTTCTTCAATAATGCCCTGGGAGTATTTGTTGAGTTGTAAATCTACAGGCACTCTTCCAAGAAATGATTTAGCGGCTTCCAGTGCCATCTTATGGAAGTGGGTTTCCATGTGCTTTTTGCAATGCTCGTGAATATCTTTGAACTTACAAAACGGCCTTATGATAAATGATCCTAATACGCCTCTAAAAGAATTTCTCTAAAAACAAGTAGAGCAGAGCGTAGTTGAGCGTACGGAATATTAGGAGTGGAATTGGTGAATTCATTCGAGTTTCGACGTACGGGAATGATTGTTCAAGGCTTGAACTTCAAGCAAATTAACTCAAAGACTTAGGACTTTGGTTGCATTATATTTGGCAACTTTTTTAGAATCTCTAGGGGGGGGGCAGCTGCCCCTCCCTGCCCCCCCTTGGCGACGCCCTTGCCTAGCAAGTTGAAATTTATAGGAGATACTGAGGTCTACTGAGGTCCGCATGGTGAGGGATTAAGAATACAGAGTGTCACCACCCCTATTCATCCCGTGGGTGTCGTAAGAGCCGACTAAGGGAGTAAACTATGCAGGACAACAACACTGCAAGAGAAGGGAAACTTGACACAAACTCTATACCAACCCGTCTGGCCAGCGTGGTATAGTAGGCCAAAGCCTCCTTTCTAAGGAGAGGCCTATGTCCAGCAGTGGACTATTAAAGGCTGTTGATGATGATGATGATGAAAAAAAATTGATCGAGCTGTGTTTAACTGTTTTTAAGATTTTATTATGGCATTCAACTATTCGGTCAATACAACTTTAGTTTTGTTAAACAGTTTTAAATATACTCCACACGAAGCAATAGACATAGTACCTCTATAGGCGAATACAAAGGTGCCTTAATATTCTTTTTACTTACCAGTTATGGTGTTAGTGATCCTAATAGGTCTAGTTCGAGCCGTAGCTTTCCCGACCATGTACTTTTCATTCAACCACCAGGGTTTCTCGATTGGCCTCCACAAAGTAGAAGGGACCACTGGCTGTTGACTACCATGGCCATGAATCATGTGTGTCGTTTTCGAACCAACAATAGGGTGTGTGTAATGCACCCAGTCTTCACCTTTGAACCAATGGCTAAGGTCTTTGCCGGCATAAGCTAAAATTGACATTGCCAGCTGGAAAAGTTGGAAAACATCTATACTTAAAGAAATAAGAATAAAGACGAAAATATGCTAATCGCTTGCGATGCTTTCGAGAATTACTTGCCGATATTTCGGCACTGTTGCGATGATGCCCATGATCAAAGATAAACTGAAACTAACCTCCGAAAATAAACTTGGTAATTATCCCGTTTCTTATAACTTATCAAGTGAAAATGACGAGTGTAGTTTGAATCAATACAAAATTACAAATACATCCATCTGTTAATGGAATGCATGAATATAAACTCGGTTCCAAAAATAACGGGTCAGTCACATAAACCCGAATATCTCCCGAACTACATATGCCATCCTAATGAAACTAAGACTGTTCAATTGAGAATTTAACTATACATATAAAAAATAAAATAAAACTTAAATCTAAACTCTCTAACTCTTAACCTATCTCTAAATTAAAAAAAAAACTAAAGTAGTCATATTTTTCTTAAGATTACATTTTTTTATGATTGTTTTTTTGATGTTTCTCATCACTTTCTTCATTTAATACTTTGTATTGCCTCCACGAGCTCTTCTGACAGATTCCAGGCGATTAGGCATGCTGTACACCAAATTTCGGAGCCGGTGCTGAGGAATACCTTCCCATTCCTCCACCAGTGCTTGTTTGAGCTCGGGAAGCGTGATTGGTGGGGGGTTTCGACCTTTCACGCATCTCTGAAGCTCGTCCCAGGCGTACTCGATGGGGTTTACGTCCGGGCTTCGTGATAGCCACGGCATGAGTTCGATACCGACCTCTTCAAGGTAGTCATGTACTATTCTGGGGACAAATATGGGGACGCGCATTATCATGCATTAATATGCCATGCCGGTCCATCCTGGCCATGAAAGGACCTACATGTTCATTGAGGATCTCTTCCACGTACCTCTCTGCATTTAGAGTTCCATTTTGAATGAGTACCAGCTCGGTGCGGGCCTCAGTAGAAATCCCAGCCCAAACTTGTACAGAGCCTCCACCGTACGCCACTTTTTCCTCCACACACGCTTGATGGAAGCGCTCCCCTGATCTTCTGTACACCAACTGCCTACCATCATGCTTATAAAGCATGAATTTGGGCTCGTCCGTGAACATTACCCTAGACCAATCGTCTAGTGTCCAGTTTAGGTGCTCGCGCACGTATCTCTGTCTTGCAATTCGATGTCCCCGTTCCAGTTTGGGGCCATTTGCTGAAGCAAATTTGAGGGGCCTCAATGGTTTCAAATTTGCTTCAGCAAGACGTCTTCTTACTGTTTGAGCGCTTAAATTGCCACCTCCAAAGCGAATAAAGTGAGTTTTTAGACCAACAGCAGTTTGAAAACGATTTCGGAGCATTGTAGCCACCAGTTGTCTGTCTTCCCTGGCCGTTGTGCATCTTGGTCTGCCATTTCCTGGTCTTCTAAGGTGTGATCCGGTCTCTTGGTACCGCTGGACTACCCGCTTAACAGTCGACAAAGATACACTAATGTTTCTGGCTGTTTCACGCTGGCTCCGCCCAAGTTCCAAAAAAGTTAGGATTCTGGTACATTCCTCTAGCGTGACTGCCATGCCTCACAGAATAATAATTATGCACGTCGAAGACGTTCACGATATTTTTTTTTGTGACAGAATAGAAATGGAAAGCATCTATAATGAAATAAAACAAAAATTTTGTTTTTAAAAATAGTCATTTTTTTTAATTTTGTTTTTCTAATGAAGTTTTTTTCATCAACCAGTTTAAATAATATGCTATTAGAAGCGCAACTAAAAAGTCTTTAATCTGTTTTTTATTTCATTGATCTAACTTTTACAGTTCTGGAGGTATTTCAATTTTTGTGACTAACCCGTAATTTTTGGAACCGAGTGTATATTTAAAACATTAAACTACAGTTTTGTTATTTGTAACAGGGGGTACGTTTGTTTCTGACAGTTCCACAGACAATTCAGGTAGTCCTTGAATGCATGGGAATCATAACTGAACAACTCCTACTAAAAACCCTAGGCTAAACGAGTAGGTAAAGTCGTATTTCAGTTGGTAGGTTCACTAGAACCGCAGAATTTCGTACATTTGAAGACATACCTTTTTATTTTATAAAATTAATTTCAATCGGTCCGTGTGGTGACGGATTAAGAATACAGAGTGTCACCACCCCTATTCATCCCGTGGATGTCGTAAGACCCGACTAAGGGAAAAAACTACGCATAACAACAGCACTGCAGAGAGAAGGAAGGCTTGACACAAACCCTATACCAACCCGTCTGACCAGCGTGGTATAGTAGGTTAAAACCTCCTCTCTAAGGAGAGGCCTATGTCCAGCAGTGGACTGTTAAAGGCTGTTGATGATGATGATTGTTGACCAATTGTATATTTTCCAATGCTTGCTTGTTTTTGATGATACCTCAACCAACCCTCTAATTATAGGAAGGTGTAATTAAAATGCGGCAACGCACTTGTGTCGAGTTGCGCGTGAAGACACTTATCAGCAAGATACCTATATGCTCGTTTGCCTACTACCATAAAAAAGCACAATGCGACTTATTCTAAACGGATCTTAATAAAAGAAAAAACGAATAATGGTAAAACTACGCACCCTTTTAGCATCACAGTACAAGTAGCCCTGTTTAAAACAAGGGCAGTATTCCACGCATGAATCATTGCAGAACCAATTCTTGACTTTACACGAGCACTCCTTGGTGCATTTACACACTCGGAACTGATTCTCCAGCCAACTGGTGAGGTCATACACCGTCCCGTTTAGCGAGACCCAGCAATCCTTCGATGTATTGTGAATGGCTATTTCTGCAGGCGTATACCACTGTCTCTTTGTATACCTCATTGTTTACAGAAGATGTGACAGATGACAAATACTTAAGATTGCTGTCTATCGTATTTTTTTATATTTTTTATAAAATTGGCAATGGTTTTTTGTTACTGTCATTTTCAAACTTACGTAATAGAATGTTTTTTTTAACGGAAACATAACATTAGAACTTTGTGGTTTGAAAAGCCTATGCCTTTTCTGTTTAGAGAGTATTTTCAGTTAAGTTGTTGACAAAATGTTAACATGGAGAGCGCTTCTCGGGTGCTGAATGTTGTCGCAGTTAAAACCGAATTATTATTATATTCTGCATCTATTGAAACGCAAAGCGAAGAAACTTACTTTTGATTTTTTACTTTATACACGAAGGGACTGTGTAAAATATATGGAAAGTAGTTACTGATGCTATATGAAAATCGGTAGGTATACCTATGGATTTTTTACACGAGAACTCACCATCACGGTAATCGAATAGGAGTCAGCAGAAAGGAGCCTGAATAAGGATATGAAGATATTGTATATTTATAAAAGACTTTTACCAAATGTGTATTTGAGGGATGCCCCACCGTCTAACTGTGACCCAAAGGGAGGACCCCCTCGGGGTCACAGTTCAGTAGCAGTAGAGTCACGGTGTTAAAGTAGTGTTGTGCGTCATGGTATCGTTTGGCACACAATCAACTGACTATTTAAATTTCTGGGACGGGATGTATCTCGTGAATTGTAAATAATATATGTTAAAAATCAATACCACTCGTTAAAATTTTCATTCTAGAGTAGTTAGAGGCTATTTATATATTTCCAATTATTAATAATATAATTAACTTGACTTAATAAAGCATCACCGACTTCGATGCACCTCCATCATCATCATCAACCATTGCTAAACCTTGCCAGCTCCGCCTCCCCCCCCCCCCTCCCTCACCCCAAATGTCTCGCCATGAAATAATAATGAATTAACAAAAATGATTTCTTCATTCCTTAATTTTCACCCTTAGGAGTGGTTTACCTTCAAATTTGCATTGTACGGACAGCCTAAAATCCACAGGTCCGATTCATCTGAAATTTGGTATACTGTTACTTTGATGTTATCTCCATGACATGGTAACCTGGAATTTGCTGCTGCATGAGGTAGTCTGCGGGATAGCCAACTCCTTGGAAAATAACAGCATTTATACCATGTATCACTCCCAATAAAAAATATCATCAATGGGTTAGATGTATAAAAATATAATTAAATTATATAACTGAGTTGTGGACTCCTTCTTTTAAAGTGCTGAGCTACTTTAGTTACACCATTACAAGGGTTTATAAGTTTTAAAATAAAATAAATTTTTAAGGGTATTATTTACAATAACAGCGACAATTATTCAATTATTTATAATATTTTATATCAACAGTACAGAGATTCACTCGTATAGATTTTCACAAGAAATCCTTATTCGGTTTTGTATTGAGTACCAAAATGTTAGCAGTTCGAAATGATCTAAATTGATTATAATCTCTATAATGATCTCAAATAAATACGAGCCTTAATCGCATTTAGTACTTAAAAAAAAGTTCAGATTTCCAGAAGTTTCGCTGGTATTTGTGCAAATCGAACGATTATAATAAAAGCGTTAATACAGCTGACACAGCGACAAACGAAAAAAATTATGACCACATTAAGTAATAATAAAAAAAACTATAATAATTTATATTTCTTAGTTCAACGATTCTTTTTGTCTAGGGTATAAAAATGGTAAGCGAAAAGCAAGAGAAATGCTTAACACTTGTTTTCTGTGAGCCTTTAGTATCACTACGGTAACCGTACACCTTAACTGCCGTAAACCTTAACAATATACTTGCACTTATATTGTGGTATCGAATTGGATTCCGACATTTTGATATTCAAACTGTCGACTTTCAGTCTCAGTGTTTAAGAAGATACGCGTTTAGCAGAATACAATTTCTATACAAAAAATGTAAACGATTTAGAATACAAAAATTTAAAATGCCGGGGATATGATTGTTTAATATTGTTTTTTGTTTTATATATAATTTATTATCATCCCCTTTTTATTCCTATGTAACCGTGTTTTTTTAAATATTAATAACTTGACACATCACACACACGGCCGCCTGATCCCAAACTAGGCAAAGCCTTTTATATTACTAACACATCCATATTATAAATAAATATACCCAGACACAGAACATCGAACCCACGACCTGATTTAGTAGTCAGCATCACCTACACATTAAACCAACAGGCCAGTCTATATTGTCTATTTATTAACTATTGTATTAAAATAAATCGATCAATGTTAGAAAGATATGTGTTGTTAATATGGATCTTATTTATATTGTACAAGCATATAAAATATACAATTTTCAACCAATGTTGCTAGTTTAAAAATCCTGTGAAGATCTATACCATACATGAGTGTTACTAATATAATACATGATTATTTTACATCAAAACACGTAAATAAATTTATATAATTATGTATTACTTTATTGTATTCTATTTTTTATATATCAGAGCAAGCAACATAAAAAAATACGAATAATATTTTTTTTTACAATCGTGAAACTAATATATATGTCACTACCCTCATGAAAGAAACAAAAAGATTTGTTTACAATAATTATCAGTTGGCACGCTAATCTATGGAATAAACAGTCTGATTTGAAAAGAAAGTTAGACGCTATTTAAGTTCACCCTAAGCGACGAAGCACTCGGTTGAATTGCGAAATAAGGCTAGTATAAGTCTGACGTTTTTGACAAGTTGACTTTTCATACAATTTTATGACAGTTGACATTAGCATTTACTGCGCAGCTTTATAGTGCAGGTAGTTTAACATAAATGCAGTGTCAATGTATGCGTTTTAATTGTCCTAAAGGTTTGCGTGTCATGACGCGGGCTGGTGTGGTACGTGAGATAAATGCTTGACGATGTCTACCCAGTCGTAGCCGCGGGGCTTTTCCCCAGCTCGGCCTAACTCCGCCTTGTCCCACGCTCGCCGTTTCTGAGATTTTGTTAGCTGTTCTTTCTTCTCCGGTTTCTTAGTGACGTCATTCTGAAATAATAATTTGAGTGAGTTTTCTTATGTCTTCTGCATTGGTATGTATTATAACACTATATCTCACATTCGGTAATACAAACATAAATGTCAGAACTTAGAAACTCGATTAAATATACCAAAGGGATTTTAAAATACGCCTTTATCTAGAGAGCCTTTATGCAAACACTTTTATTAAGTAAGTTTAACTTAAAATAACAGAAGGCAGGTAACAGAGGGTACAAAGAAGGCCAAAACCTCCTTTCTAAGTAGAGGCCTATGTCAAGCAGTGGACTATTAAAAGCTGTTGACGATGATGAACAGCAGGGAATACTGCAAGGCCAATATAAACATAATAATGTGACACTAAATGTAAAAATATTTAAATTAACTTTCCTGTAAAATTATAAAAGGTGTAATTGTGCCTTCGTCTTAAAGAAGAGGCAATGTTAAGCGCCTATTCCTAAAATAAATTATTCCAGTCTCTATGGTAATAAATAATGGGTAAATAAAACCAAAAATTAAAAACAGAATTTGTGACATGATTTGGCGTTTCAAAGAATTTGATCTGGGTTTACAGTTAACTGTGGTATCGAGATTCGATTATAGCATGGACAGTGATGATGAACGGGAGATGAATCTTCTTTTCGCTAACACATCCTGGATCGAATGATAAAGTATTTATATAATAATGGAAAATAAAAGAAAAAAAACATGATAGTACTATGACGGGCGGAATTTTGCTAGGGATTTGGCTATAGTCTGCACTAGAAATGGCTAGACTGGTACAGAACCTGAATTGTCTACTCTCACCTAGAACTATCGGTAACCAGTTATCACAAGGAGACAATATGCTTATTTCTCAAACGCAAAATCAGATCAATGGAAGGAAAGCCACAAACAAAACATCATATGTTTATTTTATGGCAAAAGCACAATCATTCGTTAGTTAAACTTATGAAAAGACAAGACAACTCCCGGATTAGGAATAAGTATGTCCTGTGTCGCGGGGGACTTTACAAACATTCATGAAACGGACACAAAGAACATCCAGACTCAGAACAACAACTTGTGGATCGCACAAAGTGTAGCCCCATGGGGGGATCGGACCCACAGCACTTAGCGTAGTAGTGAGCGGCGTGGCGACCGCTTAAACCACCACGCCATCCGTGCAGTCGTTACTCTATAGTGCAAGACCGAAAAAAGTAAAATAATAATAAAGTAATTACCTGATCATCTATCTCTATTTTTTCCACTCTATTTGATATAATGACTTCCTCAGCCTGTTCGGAGAGTATATCTGCTAAATGTTCCTTCAGGCACTCGAACAGTGTGTAGGTCATTGCGCAACCGAGCCATTGTTCCGCTTCAGCATTCACTATGGACAATACTTTCTGCTTCGTTGAGGGTAATCTATAAAAAAAATCAAATCTACAACTTAAGAATCACATATGCGTAGTCGCCCGTAGACTCCCCAAGAGAATTATGGCGAGGCCAACCTCTGGTAACCTCGATTACTTAGTAAAAGAGCAACGTAGCAATGGCTTAAGACCGAATTTCTGTGAGGCCGTGGAATCATTCTAGTCCAGCCGACTCATTTGTGCTGAAGGTGGCTCACGGTGAAATGCTGTAACGCATGCTGTAAAATCAAAAGGGTCGAAATACCTGGCCAGACGATCTCTACCTACTTCGCTATAATGAATCATCCTCGGAATGTTTTGCGGGATGTTTGGTTTTACATTTTAAATTAAATCCTGTCGTCTGAAAAACGAGCGATATATCCGATGAAATCCGAATAGTTTACAAACAACATACTATATATAAACCCAAGGCAATTTCTTAATGATACATAAATTATTAATTTGTTGCTGAGAGTGATACGATTCTCGAACGATAGTAATTTACATCGACATGAACAGGTAAGACACTAGTATTTACAAAAAAAAGTAATTACAAGATCATATATTTTAAGATTATAGTTAGTAAGTTTGTACATCAGCTAAACTAGTTAAGTCATTTTTTTCGAGTAACCTAAAGGTTAAATTCTTAAAAAAAAAGGTTTAATCTTTACGAATTATAATTCTGTTACTACTATGTGTGTTGTGTTTGTGACTTCAATAGAGTAGGGCGAATTTGTTTTTGCAATTCAGTTTCTGATTTCTTTTAAAACGAGTGCTAATTTCTCAAATCGGTTAAACTAAAATATTTAAACGTACAAATTCTTTTGCACAACAAATTATTTAAACTAAACCTTATATTAAAGAAACCACAAAAGTGTTGTGTAATTATTTTATTGTATTCTTAAAATTAACTTTCTTTGCAAAATACACCGTGGTACCAGAATTATGACAAAGCTTTGAATCACAGATTACACATTTTGTGTTGTATAAAATACAGAAATGCAAATTTAGAACAAAACAAATACAATAAAATAAAAATAAAATTAGGGATGGGTCACCCTTACCATTTAGGGGTATGAAAAATAGATGTTGGCCGATTCTCAGACCTACCCGATGTGCACACAAAATTTCATGAGAATCGGTCAAGCCGTTTTGGAGGAGTACGGGAACGAACATTGCGACACGAGAATTTTATAAATAAGATTACACTTAGACACAGAACAACTGATCGTGCTCATCATTTGATTATTAAATATTTGTGTAATGAGCACGATCAGTAGGGTGAACCCTCTATACCCGGCTTAGCAGTCACCTGTCACTAAACACTAGACCAACAGGTCAGTCTGAACGTAATTCAAAGTAAAAAACTACAAAGTAATTAAATTTGGATTAGTGTTTTTTAATGTTTAATATCAAAATATTTGTTATGTTTCAGGATATATGCGATATTTATTATTCTCTACTGCTGGCAAAAATCACATTCTCAAGAGTACACCGGCATTCAACAATACCATGCACCTGAATCATTACATTCCCCCCAATACTTAAACCACAACCGATCAACCCCTCGCCTTATCCTATCATATCAACAAATTTTACGTAAACTATTACTCCCTTATCATCAACAATTACCATATTGTTATCATCTTCCATCACCATATTATCAAAACGCATCAATTCAACAAGAGACCTCAGCTCCTCGATATTTGCTTTTCTATTACAATTCATTTTATCATCATCTTCCATCATATCAACTTCAACCTGTACCATATCTTACTACTCCACCACCTTATAATACATCGCATGAACATAGGCCATCATCTGGATCCTTTCTCTTCTATTACAATACATTTTACCACCGAAACCCTCAAGCATTTAATTATCAAGCAGATAGACTTTACAACACATTTGGGCATACTCCTAATAGTATAAAACAAAATCATATTTCTACTACACTGTTATCATACCAGCGAGACGGGTGGTCTTATAGCAAAACGCTAGCACTGACTCCTAAGTGCATAGCTAGCAAGCAAAATAGAACTATATCTCCAAGAGCACAGAACATGATCTTAAGCAACAATGCATTTAATACCTGTATCTATTCTATAACTGAACGAGAAAACACATCAACTTGTAATTTACTGGATAAACTACTTACAGTCGTAAAAAATGGAACAGGATCGAAGTTTTTCCAGAAAGATATGTATCCAGCATATAATGGAAAATTGTTTTATATTTCATCTAATAGCAAACTAAATGGATTCTCAACGGTCCTGAATCTTAAAAGGGTAAATAGTAAGACCAAAGAATTTAAGAATGGTTTTGAGTTTGGCGGTAAAGTTTTGAGAAATGGAGATTTTTCAACAGAAGATTGGCAAAATCTTGATGATAAACGACATCTGATGAAAAATAAATTCAGTTTCTTCACTATTCCCCTCAGGGAACAGCAAATTACAGATTATGTCAGTACATCAAAATGTTCTCATATTTTCAAATTATGGAATAATACCTATGATGACGAAATCGTCGGTTTTTCATCATCTGGTCACGAGGTGCTAAGCAATTTTATACAAAACGAGATAAAGGTAAGTTTAATTTACTTCCAATTTCAGATCCCCTAAAAAAGCACTTATTGAGTCTCTGTCACTTACTTCCACAAGGGCTTAATATATTCTTTATGTACTCCAACACCTCCTGTGTTGTGTGTGATATGTTACTCCAACAATATGTAGATTGACAGTCATAACTGTTTGAACATGCTATAATCAATTTAGCTAACTTGCATTCCAGGTGCTGTTTTTAACACGCTTTTATTAGCTTGGTATGTTTGTATCTATGTACGTATGTAACGGCATCTTCGAACGTTCTTTGACCCACTTCAAAACGTCGAATTAAATTAAAACTTTTCACACTTATAGTAACCGACTTGAATAATTTAAACAGTTTGTCCCATTATTCTGATCAGGACCTGATTCAGGATTAACAGAATTTTCCATACCTAAAAATACAGTAGTGCCTTTTGCCACGTACTAAGGTGTATGCTGAATCATATGTGATAAACTTACTTGATACTTTTTTAGTCTTAATAAGATAATAATCATAATTAATGACTTCAAAAGAAAAAATAAATTATTGTTTAAAGAAACAAAAATAACACGCTTTTTTAGCTAGCCAAAGTAAACAATTTTCTATAAGTTGAATAAAAAATATAATTTTATCGTAAAAAGCTAGTGGTGCTTTTGAAGGTACTTTCTTACATAATAACTTTACTTTTACCGATATCTGTCAGTGAAATATCTTTACAATATTTGAGATCAAGAACCTATGGTCTTTTACAATAAGATTATATTTAATTTTTAACTTAAAGAAAACTTTTTCCTACTTTTTAGTTTGGCTAGCTACAACACCATGTTTTTATTTTTACTATATTGTGTTCTTTTTATTGTACATCATGCACATTTGAGGTATCTCCAGACCTAAAGTCTTAGGCATTATTTATGAGTGATGCAGAGGAAACAGGAATTAGGTGTACTTTTCATGATCATCCCTTCTGCAGTTTGTTAGTAATGCCAATTTATTTACATAATGGACCAAACTTGTACTTACAGATTCTGATTGTAAAAAATATCCATATTAAAGTTAGGTTTCTCTGTTGGATAGGTAGGTCCCCATGATATCTCCAATATAAATGATTTTTCTCCATCTATGTACTGAAATAAAAACAAAATGGTTTCTTAAATCACTTCAACATATGTTAGGGAATAATTTGTGGGACTAACATTCTGCTTTCATTTTAGGGTTAGAAAACATTTTATTTTAACAAACATTAACTTTCTCCGTTCAACTGCACGGATAGTGGTTTAAGCGGTCGCCACACCGCTTCCTACTACGCCGAGTGTTGTGGGTTCAAACCCCAAATGGGACAATACTTTGTGTGATCCACAAATTGTTGTTCTGAGTCTGCGTGTACTTTGTGTCTGTTTCATGTATGTTTGTAAAGTCCCCCGTGACACAGGATTTATTCTTAGTGCGGGAGTTGTCTTTACGCCATTAGTAGAATAATTTAAAATCTAGCATTACAGTTTTTATTTCTATACTATATAATGAAAACATTTTTCTGGTCTATTGGTCCAGTGGTTGACGGTTTGTTTCCCAACAAAAAAAAATAATTAGATAATACATATTAGAAATATAAAAGTACTAAGCTTTAGCTGTAGCTTTTGCCCGCTGCTCCGACGGGACTCAAACTATTTCTATACCAAATTTCATCTAAATTAGTTCAGCAGTTAATGCGTGAAGGGGTAACAGACAGATAGATACATAGACAGAAAGATACACTTTCACATTTATAATATTAGTATGGATATTTATCAGCAGTCCGGTTACTATAGCATAGGCTCTGCCTATTTTAGGATCTGATAGTTATGTGATCCTAAAATAGGCAATGTCAAATTAGTATTAGTTTATTTTTGAAGTCAACTCCAGTATTTCACCCCATCATCATTGGATTTATTCCGTTTTAGGCATTGATTTGTTTAGACACTCATGTTGAATAAACTCAGAGGCGACAAGGACTTAGGACGGCTCCTTGTCAAGACCGTTTTCCTCTACAGCTACGGACCCAAATACATATTAGGAATGTATCCTGTGTCGCAGGGAACTTTACAAACATACGTAAAACGGACACCAAATATTATTACTAGTTTCAGATATCAAGCAAGAAGAAACGCTCAGATACAACCAACCAGATGTTGGATTTTCAAAGGGGATCTAACTGCTCCACAGAGTGTGTACATGCACAAATGTGTTGCAAATAATTTGGCAACTAAGACAAACAACACGAAATTTGTGACATGTCATATTATTCATTCAAATGCAAAATATTCAATGCATCAAATTAAATGTTTTATAATTTTATAGGTAACTAATATTACTAGTGTAAGATAAAAATATAATAAAACCTGATGAACTGATGAATAATTTGACAGCATAAAATGTTATCTGACATAATTGTAAGAAATCTGACATTGTAAAATTTATATATTCCTACAGACCTTATATTGATAAGTTTTATCATCAATTTGTTTAAAGTTTTCATCTCCTTCATAAATTGATTTGAGAACTTCTATTTCTTCAGCTTGTTGCTCTGCATCATCAGACATTATATAAGGTTGGGTTCTGAAACTAATATTTATATTACAAATAAAAAAAAAACAATTCTCAATTCAGGCATATATGAGGTGTAACATAGATGGGAAACGAGGAATAAAAGAGATGGGAAAAATAGATAAAAACCATCTCATGTCAAAATTTGAGATCAATTGGTGCAGAACTTTTTAGTTTTTGAAGTGTACACCAAACCAATGTAACATTTTTATATATATAAGACATATTTTACAGTAAAATTCAGCATTTTAAATTTTTTAATAAAAAATGTTAGAGGCCTGTGTAATTTTAGATATTTGTAGAAAACAATATTATTAATAAATTGCAAGATACAAAATTAGCCTATTTTTTTTAATTTATAATATTTTGAAAACCATTAGCCGGCCTATGGAAGTACTAAGAAGGATTTACAACACATAAACTGTGGTTGAATTCAATGTTTACTATTATTTAATGGTTAATAGATTTGTGTGCTGAATATTATAGAACTCATGCAAATAATACTTTCACCAGCAAATCAAAGTATTAATATTAATAACTGCTCAGCAGCACTACCTTGTTTACTACTACTTTGTCTTCATTAAAAAAAACTATGCAGTTCCTAGTTATAACATTTTGAAGGCCTACATTTTATCATAACATAACCTTAAAATTAAACTCAACCGAGCTTTGTATGTACACTTTATTATTGCGCAAACTTTCGAACTACAACTCCTATTTAATGAATAAATTACAAACCTTTCGATATTGCTTTAGAAATTTTATTGAACACTTGTTGGCAATTTTTGGTTATTGACAATTTGACACTTGACAGTGCTCGGCACAGTGTTGCCACGTCAAAAGCATCCATCCTATTTTTTTTAATTTTTTAAACACTACACATGCTACCAGATAAACTATTAATTTTCACATTAAAATTTTTAAGTTGCTAGTCATCACTTGATACGATAATAAATATAATGAATCACCCATCATAACTGCTATATGCGAATGTACAGAGCTTGATAGAGTTTGCCAACGTTCTTATCCTTTTGTTTTGAAGACAAAATGTACAACTTTGGCTCCTTTTAATAATGTGAAAAGTATTTGAACACTTCACAATAAGAACATTGATTATGTTTACTAAGGAAGTAAGTATCAAAACCACTAAAGTAGTAGCAATATTATGTTATTAAGGGGAAGCCTTTAGATGCAGCAGCACAGGACCGGTTGTTGTGAAGAGCTTTGCGGGAGGCTTATGTCTGAGATGAAAATGATGATTTCCCCTTTTAGGTATTTTTTATAAATATAAATCCTTATGTGTTTTTAAAATAAAGTAACTATGTCGATAAGATATTAGTATTCATGATTAATGTGCACTTTGTGCAGGGTAAGTGATAACTGTGTGTGTTAATATATTTTCCTATTTTGAACTATACAAAGAGCAAAAAATACTATCCTTTTGAATCAAACTCTAGGGTCGTATCTAGATTATATTACGAACTGTCACGTATAATATAGTGCCTTTATTACTTTACTTGATTCGATTAAAATCAATGTTTATGTTCTTACACCAAAACGGTAGAAGTTATTACACATTGATTCTGTACACAGTAATACTTTTATTTTCAATTATTTAGTAGAACTTATAGTAGATAAAGAAGTTAAACTAAACGACTCAATTGTAATTACATTTATGTTATTAACTCATAACAAACAATCCTACTATTAAGTTCTGCACCAGATCTAAGATGTAGTGTTGAAACTTTTAATGTTGGAGTACTGGTAACACTGCTGATGACTGCCAACACTGCCAAGGAAACAGATCTTTGCAAGAAAGCGTTATTGTTTGAATTTTGAGTAGCGATTTACTATATAATTTAGATTTATTTAAATTAAAAAACAGGGTTGGAAATTTGCAAAAATGAGCGTTGCCAGATGTGGTTGTAAAGAAAATCGTCCTTTGACTGCTGGTCGGTCATGCTGCAGTTGTAATTTAAACTCGCAGAAAATAACTAAAGACAGTTTCAAAGTGCCAGCACCACCTGCGAGCCGTCCTTTAACAACGAAAGTAAACTTCTCAGACAACAAAGAGCAAGTAACCACAACTGAGTCTCAAGTTAAAAATGAAGACAAAAAGAAATCGTGGTCGCTGTCAGATTTCGATTTGGGACGTCCACTGGGCAAAGGTAAATTTGGAAATGTATACTTGGCTCGCGAGAAAGAATCACATTACGTGGTTGCTCTAAAAGTACTTTTTAAGAGTCAAATCTTGGATTCTGAAATCGAGCATCAGGTTCGGCGCGAAGTGGAGATACAATGCCGTCTTCGACACCCAAATATTCTACGTATGTATGGCTACTTTCACGACGAGAAGCGAATTTATTTGATTTTGGAATATGCGAAGCATGGATCTCTTTACAAACTTTTAAAAGAGCGGGAACGTTTTGATGAAAAGACTGTTGCTATCTACATCAGAGATTTATGCAAAGCTTTAGTATACTGTCATACCAAAAAAGTAATACATCGTGATATCAAACCAGAAAATTTACTTGTCGGACACAATTGGGAACTGAAGATTGCAGATTTCGGGTGGTCAGTGCATTCACCGTCTTCTAGAAGAATGACACTGTGTGGTACTTTAGATTATCTATCCCCAGAGATGGTTGAGGGAAAACCACACAGCTATGCTGTTGATATATGGAGTCTTGGTGTGCTGTGCTATGAGCTACTAGTTGGCATACCACCATTTGATGCCAAAGACTCACACCAAACATATAAGAAAATAAGATATGTTATCATTAAGTATCCAGATTTTGTATCTGAAAAGGCCAGGGATTTGATGGGGAAATTGTTAGTCATTAACCCTGATCAGAGATTGCCTCTTTCTCATGTATTACAGCATCCATGGATTACTGAGAACGCTCCGGAAGGTGTGGTTCCGCCTGCTTTTAATGCGGAAAAAAAATGATTGTCGATAAAGTTTTAACTTGTTCATCTAAATATTGTGTATGACCTTGCTGTCAAACATACAGACTAGCAGTTTTTGCATAATTAGCACAACGGATGCAAGACACACTCAATATGACCATATCATTAAATATAGATAGTTATGACTTTGATATTCCTTTTTAACCCCATTGTTTAGTAATAATTTTTTTAATGCAGGACATTATGACCATTGACAAGGTGTTTAACTATAGAGTACTTATGTTCTTTTGCCCACTATGCTCCATGCATACGATAATGCATTTGTAAATTTTTAGCCAAAAAAAAATAGTCAATTTATGAATACTTAATTAATTTTAAATGTTACGATAATTTCTGATTACTTCATGATATTTAATATTTTTATGACTGAGTTTTGATGGTGATGATTTAAAATATTTAATCATGTTAACATAAATAATTAAAATACTGAATTGAAAAAAAAAGACAATATTCAACTAAGTAGTATTTATTTCAATAAATGTTTCAGATAATCATGTAAATAATTATAAATAAACTTTAAAAATATTAATGTTTCTTATTTTTATTTCTATAATACAAATTCATGGCATACTTGTCAAAATGTGGATCTCTTTTAACTATTAGTTTCCAGTGCAATATTTCTCCACAAAGACACACAGCACTCAGAAAATATCCAACTGCCAGAGCTATAAATGCTCCATAGAGCTTCTTAAGGTTCATGAGAGCTTTGATTTCATCCTCATTTGTCTCCAGAGCACGAATAGAATGCATTGCATCATTCAACCATTTCTCAACCAACCCAACTTCCACTACACGTCCGATATAAACATCAGCCAACGGCTTTAAAGGAGAGTTCTTATGGAATCCAACAGATATAGGTATATTGACTACACAATCAGACATGATATGTAAATTTCTTTCTATGTCGTCTTTTCTAACAGTTGGTCTTGTTACATTTTCCTGCTTATTATTCACAAAACTGTTTTTCCTTGTCACGCTTACGTATTTCAGAAAGTCAGAGTTATCGTAGTATGCATACACACCCTTAGCTACTTTATCTGCAGCTTGTAAAGGATCGTCTATAGTTTCGAATTTAGCACCAATCTTTTGTCCATACTCGTCTAAGGATTCCTCAAAAAACTTCTTTGTTTCAGTGCCCCATCCGCCGCACGTTACTTTGCTATTAGCTAATTCCTGAATGGTGTCTATTGTGACTCGTGGGGCAGGATTGGCTAGAATTGCGGTCATGCTGGCACGGTATGAGACGACAAGGAGAATGCAATACAGCCAATACCATCCAGTTAAGAGTCTAATTGACCAACCGGTGGGTAATCTAGGTAAAGAAACAACTAGTAACATTCCGTATGTGTAAAGAATGCTGTTTATGATTTCTCCAAATATGTAGAGAGCGGGTTTCACATCTGTAAAGTAAATAATGAGTTCGTTACATTAGGACTTTGTGGACTCTGTTCGTTTTTTCGTATTCGCACACCAACTGGGTCACTGTTGTTTGTTGGTATTTAATTATACAAATGTACGAACCTACAATGTGTTGAGTCCTTTGTATTAAAGTGTAGTGCCCCTGACTCAGCCTAAGATCGTGAATTTCATTACAAATATTTTCGGACATCTGACACACAACGCCATCTAGTTTCAAATTAAGCATAGCTAGATTGACTGATAAAACATTTTATATACTTTACACATATTATACAAAGAAACATCGAAACTCCCAAAACAAATAAGTATTTGCAGATCATACAAACATTTGGTACGACCCGGGAATCGAACCGAGACTAATTGTTGTGTGGTGAGTACGATCATTTATACAGTATATTAGGTAGGTTAGGGTTTCGTTTTTTTTTTAAATTGCATGTGTCCACAGACACACATCAGTTTTAAGGCTATTGACACACCAGAATGTAGTTATTTCTATAGTACATTCACAAATAAGATTCTGCAATATATGTACATATTATGTCCTTCCAAGACAAGACGAGATGAGAGAAATTCAATACTACATAAAAATGTAATATTTTGTAGCGTGGTGCAGTGATAGCGTATGCGACTGCTGTGCTGAGGTCTCCGGTTCGATTCCTGGGTCGCACCAGATGTTTGTATGATTTGCAAATATTTATTTCGGAGTATGAGTGTTTTTATGTATAATATGTATGTATATACAAAAAAAAGTATTCCATCAGTCAATCTAGTTTTCATAGTAAAAGCTCGGCTTAATTTAAAACAAGATGGCGTTGTGTGTCAGCCATCCATCTGATACGCTTAACGCATACGCATACGCTTAACATAAAATTTAAGTAATAACCTAAGCTTTTCTCAAGTTAAACGATTTCAATATTAAATAGTTCAACTTAGATTAGTTTAAGTTATCACTTCTTTCGGGAGTTCCGTTCCACACGCTTTTTTTTTAAATATTTATATGAGTTCCTGTGTAACGGGACAATCTTAAGTGCAGTGCAGCAAATACTAAATGAAGAATACATAACAAAGGCAGGCAAAGAAAGTGTATACCCAAGAAAAGCAGAAAGACAAAATAAAAACATGAAAAATGGTACGACCTTCAGTGCCCTGTTTAACATTGGAGCTATTTCTGTAATCATTTTTAAATTGTTGAAGATTCATGTAGTATCTTGCCAAACCGTAGAAAATAGTGCCCGTTATAAGCAGCACTAACAGCACGGCCAACCACATCGATAACCTAAAAAAAAATATAGGTAGATTTATCTATTGTAGGTAAATATATTGTAATGGTCATTAACTTGAAATACTATTTTATGTATAATGTACTGAACTGATTTACAATAAAGATTGTTCTATTTATTTATAAAAATCTATTCTTTACGCTTATTTATCGTTATTTTTTTTAATGTTAGAGGGGATAGACGAGCAGACTGCTCACCTATAATAATAACTAATAGAAATCTTATATATAAAATTCTCGTGTCACAATGTTCGTTCCCGTACTCCTCCGAAACGGCTTGACCGATTCTCATGAAATTTTGTGTGCACATCGGGTAGGTCTGAGAATCGGCCAACATCTATTTTTCATACCCCTAAATGATAAGGGTGACCCATCCCTAATTTTTTTTTTGTTTTGCAATACAACGTTTGCCAGGTCAGCTAGTAATATATAAAATTTGACTGCACGGATGGCGTAGTGGTTTAAGCGGTCGCCACGCCGCTTCCTATTGCGCCGAGTGTTGTGGGTTCAAACCCCACATGGGACAACACTTTGTGTGATCCACAAATTGATGTCCTGAGTCTGGGTGTACTTTGTGTCCGTTTCATGTGTGTTTGTAAACTCCCCCGCGACACAGGATTTATTCCTAGTGCGGGAGTTGTCTTTAAAAAAATAAAAAATAAAATAAGAAGCAGGCCAAGTCGACCGCCAGGCGCGGCGCGGTCCGGAACGCGCGCATCCTTTAGAGGCAAGAAGGGAACACCGTAATCCCCACACGAGCGGGATATCTACAAGCCGTATATGGCATGGGGTCCGTCGGAGTACTAGGGATTTCCTTTCTAGCGGCTAGTGGTACCCGAAACGGCGTGCGGTTTTTAGTCAGTTCGAGTTCGACATAAGCATCCCACCGGTGGGGTATATTCGAGGGGATTTCCGCCGGCAAAAAAGGATAAATTGCTAACGAATTAAATGTGGCATGTTTGCCTTAAAAACTTAAAATGTTAATTCTGTGTTTGACAAAACTTGGTTTGTGCGATAATTGTAATAGAGATAAACCCTTATTATACCTTTTTGTAATTAATTAAATATCAAATATTATTAACATTCATAGACATCCTAATTTGAATCGCATAGCTCACGCTTTTCTTAAAAAGATTTTTCTCACTTTTCAAAGATTTTTCACACAGATTTACCACACGGATAGTTATCCGTGTGGTCAATATAATTAAGTGTGTGTGTGAAAAATCTTATCCACTGTGACGGATTAAGAATACAAAGTGTCACCACCTATTCATCCCAATCATCATGTCGTGAGAGCCGACAAAGTGAGCAAACTACGCAGACCAACAGAACTGCAAAGAGAAGGAAAACTTGACTCAAACCCTACATCAACCCGTCTGGCTGGTACGTGGTATAGTAGGCCACAACCTCCTTTCTAAAGAGAGGCCTATGTCCAGCAGTTGACTATCATAGGCTGTTGATGAAGATTTACAGTTGAATGATTATGAGTGAACCCTACAATTCAGGTATTTCAGAAAAGCAGTATCAAAGATTTGAGACAAACGATAGATGAATGTTACGGAGTTTTTTTTTTTTGGAAAAGATAACTCCCGCACTAGGAATAAATTCTGTCTCGCGGGGGCCTTTACAAACACACATGAAACGAGCACACCCAGACTCAGAACAACAATTTGTGGATCACAGAAAGTGTCGTCCCTTGTGGAGATCGGACCCACAACACTCAGCGTAGTAGTAAGCGGCGTGGCGACCGCTTAAACCACTACGTCATCCGTGCAGTCTTTGAAGAACTACATGATATAATCATGGAATGGAAATAGTATTAGGGCAAAGAAATTGAGCGTTCCGCAGGTAGTAATAAGATGGAAATTATAACAACTTACTTGAAAGGCAATATGAGAGTTTTCCAAGAGTTATCACTGAGTGCTTCTGGCGTCAGAAACGTCCAACACTGGGAAGTGTACGGGATACTCAAATCCATCTGTTCCAGATGGTACGGGGTGTACTGCAGATTTCCTAAGGCTATATCTCCTGCACCGTGCACCATCTCGCCCATAAGGCCAGAGAATGAACCATTCGATTGCTTCTGGCCCCATTTGTGGAGTTCTGCATGTGGAGACTGATACAACTTCGGTTTGAAGTTTATTTTTTCTGCTAATGTTCGCAGGATCTGCAAAAGCCAGAACACTGAATAACTGCAATAGACGCCAGGACTAGCCGTTGAAGTACGTGAAGTTAATCTACCTATTTATTTTACTTTACAAATATATAATTTGTGTAGTTTCTAGATTTTTGTGGTGACGGATTAAGAATACGAAGTGTCACCACCCCTATTCATACCGTGGGTGTCGTAGGAGCCGACTAAGGGAGCTAACTACGCAGACAACAGCACTGCAAGGAGAAGGAAATCTTGTTACAAAACCTATACCAAAACGTCTGGCCAGCGTGGTATAGTAGGCCAAAACCTCCTTTCTAAGGAGAGGCCTATGTCCAGCAGTGGACTTCTAAAGGCTGTTGCTGTGAAGAAGATGACTACATTTTTAATACAATTACTACTTAAACAATTTTATATTTTTCTTATATTTAGCGTTGATTCATCTTTATGTACTTACCTACCCCGCGATCTCGTGTAATCTACTTACACGAGATTGCGGGAAAAATTGAACCCAAAATACTGCTGTGTCAAATATACCAACCCTTTTATGCCATTTTCAAACCTATCTAACTCTCTCCAAACAGACAGATAGACAAAAAAAAAACTGGTTTTTAGGCATAGGTATCGTGCAAATAACCGTGTTAGTATGAAAAAATCCTATTATTTTGACATTACAAACAAACACTTCAATTTTGTTTGTTTGTATAGATATGAAAGAAAGAAAGAGATTGTTTGCTTGTTACGCTTTCACGCCTAAATAATTAAACTAACTGTAAAATTGGATTTTAAAAGAAAAAGCTACATTATCTGCGAGTAACGTAGTCTATTTTTTTTGCGATAACTCACATACACGCGGGCGGAGTCGCGGGCAAAAGCTTGTAAGTTATATTTATATAAATCTAAGTTTAAGCATCACTTTAAAAACATACTTCTAGGTATGAGATTAGTAAACCAAATGGCTGGATATCTTAGACAACATTTTACCTCAATTTCGACTCCTCCAATTCTGTTTCCAACGGAACTCTTCGCAACTACCACCGATGGTACGTGATCCAAGTAAACAACATTCAAAATTTCACCATTAAAATTATTAGTTTTATCATTAAATAGAGACTTTTTATATTGAAAAACATCATTTCTCCATATGTCCACTCTTCTCGGCACGAGTACACTTTTGATGGGATTAGGAAAAGGCACAGTCGACAACTCGAACCAAGATTTGCTATTGGGCCTGTTGACGTCTTTCTTGTGGTACTTTAAGAAAATTACATTGATAATTCGCCGCCAGAGATAGTGATAATCGCTATGAAATAGACGGAAATCCTGGATCATGATGTATTTAGCTCTTGTATCGAGAACGCGATGTCTGTCAGAAATATAAAGCATCTAAATTAATATCATGGTGCTACCTTATTTGGGAAACAGATCGTAAAACACTTTTAGGTAATCGTAAATAAAGGTTGTCGTACAATCGGTGATGGTTTTTTTCTTTTTTTTTTAATATTTAGACAACTCCCGCTTTAGGAAAATATCCTGTGTCGCGAGGAACTTTCTAAACATAAAACGGACACAAGAACACCCAGACTCAGAACAACAATTTGTGGATCACACAAAGTGTCGTCCCATGTGGGGTTTGAAACAACAACACTCGGCGTAGTAGGAAGCGGCGTGGCGACCGCTTAAACCACTACGCCATCCGTGCAGTCATTGCGTGCAATTTGTAATTTAAACTATGTTACGAATGTTATATTCCTGGCGTTGCTGTGGCATTCTTTGCAACATAAGCGTTTATACGCTGCCAGAAATACAACACAGGCAATATCAAAAGGGATCAAATTATCCAGAATTTTTTATTGTCGAAACACGAACAAAGTCGTCAGGAAATAGGTTTAGTACATAATTATTTATTTATAAGAAAAGGAATCGATTACCTATCTCCAAACTTCAACAGTCTCGCTGCCTGCACTCCATTAGCTAACATAACCACATAAACGTTACATCCTTCTTTCCTTGCCTCTCTCAGTGACTCCAAGGTGATAAAGTTCGGTGATAGCAAATCTTCGTAGTCCTCTACGACGATCTAGTATCAGAAAGAAATATCTACTTAATGTGTGTATATTATGTGTGAGGTATTTCATTACTCGTTTCTTAAAAAACTGTGTTTAAGTTTAAAATGCAAGTAAGTATTTACATAAATATTTGGTTGGTTAGGGTCTAAAAACCAAAAATGTATTTTATAACATGTTTGACCATTGTTAGTGCAAAAATCAAATCACAGTAACAAAAAGTTTATAGTAGGACCTTTATTACAGTTCTTAAGTAAAATCATTATCGTATTGTGAATTTAAATTTGCTCAGTTTTATCTGGGTTCGGCGCAATTTAACATTGGGTTTTCGATTGTTTCTTTAATGGCAAACTGTCAACGCCAACCTTCCGTGGGAACGAAATTGTTTTCAGAGAATTTCATCTTAAAATAGTAAAAAAAATACAAGTTTTTACCTAAGAAATGTAGAGAAATTATGATACTATCAGATATTTTATTTGCCTTGTGTCTATGTAATTTAATACCCACCATCACAAAAGGTACAGCAGCCACCCTGCGAAACATCGAGCCACTGAACACGTTCAAATATACTTCATCGCATATAACGGCCATGCACGTCACTTCGTAATTTCTACTGACGACGTTCAGGACATCTATGAGTACATGCTCCAATTCTCTACGTTCATGGACATGTTTCAAGATGGGAAATGTATCAGGCTTCACTCTGGTGGCATGTAGAAAAGTTACCGTTACTTATCATCATCACCAACATCAACAGCCTTTATTAGTTCACTGCTGGACATAGGCCTCTTCTTAGAAAGGAGGTCTTGGCCTACTATACCACGCTGGCCAGACGGGTTGGTATAGGGTTACTCATCAATGCGAGGTTGGCCCCGATCTGTCGGATGCCCAATTCGGTTTCCGAGAGGGGCGTTCGACGATCGATGCCGTGATGCGCCTTAGGGCCGTGACCGAGGAGGTTGTGAGCTGCGGCGGAGTGGTGTTGGCGGTGTCTTTGGACATCGCCAACGCCTTCAATAGTCTATATATATAATAGCCATTCAGCTGCATCAGGGAAGCGCTCCGCTACCACGGAGTGCCGGAGTACCTGAGGCGGCTGGTGGCAGACTATCTTGAGGAGCGAACCGTCATGTACGAGGACCGAGATGGCGTCTTGAGACGCAGGGCCATGTCGTGCGGTGTTCCGCAGGGGTCTGTCCTAGGACCACTCCTGTGGAACATTGGATACGACTGTTCCCTACGAGGGCGTCTCCCCCCCGGGCTGGGTGTACTCTGCTACGCAGATGACACTTTAGTCACGGCCCGGGGGGCTAACTTCCAGGAGGCGGCGCGCCTGGCCGCCACGGGAGTTTCCCTGGTGGTCGGGCGCATTGAGGCGTTGGGTTTGCGGGTGGCCCTGGATAAGAGCCCTATTATTTCATGGGCCCCGTCGTGGTCCACCCGCCGGCGCCTCAATCGAGGTCGGCTCGGTCCTCGTACCGGTCCGGGCCCAGATGAGGTACCTGGGTCTGGTCCTAGACGGTAGGTGGCTCTTCGACGAGCACTTCCGACAGCTTGGTCCGAAGCTGGTGGACACTGCCTCCGCCCTAGGGCGACTTTTGCCCAATTTGGGCGGGGCCAGTGTTCCCACGAGGCGGCTGTACGCGGGGGTTGTCCGGTCCATGGCGCTTTATGGTGCACCGGTGTGGGTGGCGGTTCTGACCGCCCCGAATAGAGCGCGCCTCTGGCGCCCCCAGAGGATATTGGCGGTCAGAGCCATACGCGGATACCGCACGATGTCCACCGAGGCGGCTTGCGCCTTGGCCGGAACACCCCCGTGGGATTTGGAGGCGGAAGTGCTCGCCGAAGTTTATCGGCGAGTGGCTGACTTCCGGGCGGAGAGCGGATTTCGCCCTCCGCCCGAAGACGTGCGCGAGTGGCGCGAAGCCGCTCGCCGAGCCACCATGGTCAGATGGTCGCTCCGGTTGGAGACTCCACGCGCTGGCTTCGCCGCCGTGGAGGCTCTCCAGCCGGTCATCGCTGAGTGGGCAGGGCGGCAGCACGGGACCCTTTCCTTCCGGCTGACGCAGGTGCTTTCCGGGCACGGTTGCTTCGGAAGGTACATGTACTCGGTCGCTAGGAGGGAATCGAGTCCCGCCTGCCACCACTGCGACTGCAGTGAGGATTCGGCCCAGCACACGCTGGCGGCTTGCCCCGCATGGGCAACGCAGCGCCGGGCCCTCACTGCAGTCATCGGAGCAGATCTCTCGCTACCGGCCGTAATTCGCTCCATGGCCGGTAGCGACAGTTGTTTTACCGCGGTCGCAACCTTCTGCGAGGAGGTAATCTCGCAGAAGGAGGCGGCGGAGAAGGCCCGGGAGGACGACCTCCACTCGGACCTGATCCGCGCTCGGCGAACCGGGCGGCGGAGGCGCGCTTACCTGCGCCTCATGCCGCCCTGAGTGTGGCCGCGGGTGGACGGGATGGGTTCTCCCCTCCACCCGCATTAGTTGGCCAGCCGCGAGGGGGCGGCGTCCGCGTGTGCCGGACGTCGCCTAAAGAGAGGGTCCACTGAGATGGAGCCCGCATCAGGAGCGGGCCGGCGCTGGGAGGGGTCCAGAAGGAGATAGCTACCTGGACCCCTCCTAAACTGGAAGCGCAAAGAGGGCACACCGTGTGGTTTTAGTCGGTTCGAGTCCGACATACCGCCCCGCCGAACGAGAGCCCCGGCGGGGTGACGGTCCGAGGGGATTTCCACACGTAAAAAAAAAAAAAGGGTTACTCATCAACAATATATTTTTTTTAGGTTTAAGCCTTAAAGCAACGCTTCATTGTCCTGTCTATTTATCCGCCTGTGAAAACTACTCCTCAGAAACGCGTGGAGGTATCAAGTTAAAATTAACATCTAATAGTTCCTTGAAGCTGTAATAAACTCAAGCTTCTTATAAGTCCACACAATGAAAATACCCCTATTCATCCCGTGGGTGTCGTAAGAGCCGACTAAGGCCGACAACAAACTAGGAAAACTTGAAACAAACCCTATATTAACCCGTTTGGCCAGCGTGGTATAGTAGGCCGAAACCTCCTTTCTAAGGAGAGGCCTATGTCCAGCAGTGGACTGTTATAGGCTGTTGATGAATCAAAAGTTATGGCCACTTAAGTCTTATTTACACGGTACCCTTTGTGCATGAGTCAGACTCGTACTTTTCTTATGCTTTTAAAGAAACAAGGGATTTTTATTTGTGAATCGAGTCTAGTTATGACAACAATCGGTGGGTACAATCCGTGCATGACATTGGTAGAAAAACCTACCTACTAAATAGTACTATAGATATTAAGTCCCTATTTACACATCTAATATATGAAGATACGAATTATAAAATATCTATAAACTGCTATACTTACCCTACAATACAAATAGTAACGATTATTATTTTTAATATTTTAAACAAAAACATTTCCAACGTTCGCGTTTGAAGCTCTTACGTAAAAAGAAATGTTTTAACAATCTAACCAAAGATAACTAAAGCTAAGTATGCAAGACATCTTGATTGACATCACACATTACATATGCAAGAGTCAATTACAAACCAATTTGATTTCGACTTACAAATTCATAGGGTTTAAAGTTTAATGGACGGAAACAGACTAAACGTGAACTGAAGGCTATTTATTATAAGTACCTACACATTTCTTTTTATAAAATGATTTAAATAAATAGCGACATTTATTCCCATAGAATAAAGTGCAATTCAGATCATCATCCACAGCCTTTAATAGTCCACTGCTGAACAGACGTCCTACGCTGGGCAGACGGGTTGCAATTCTGGTCACACAGCGCCTAGAAGTTGCTTCTCTTTCTATCGCTTAACTCTTATCTCGTCTGACGATGTTATGGTTGTCGCATTTTAAAGAATATTTAATTATCCGTCAAGTGTTTTATAACTCTTCCTTTGTAACCAAATAACGCTATATTTTAAACTGGTTAGGCCACTAATTAGATAGTCATCATCAGCCTATCGCAGTCTACTGCTGAACATAGGCCCCTTTGATCGATTTTCAGTTTCTCGCATCCAGCTAATACCGGCTATCATGCGCAGATCGTCACTCCACCTGACCTGGTGCAAAGAATTGAAATCCGCTGGTAAAACTTTGGGGTGCAGCTAGTTATAGATATGCGACCTGACCTGCTTACCAATACTTCCGTGGACATATCCCATCCCTATCATTGCATTCTAATCTTACCAGTTTCCTTTCATATTAAACTTTTTCCATCTAATACTTAGTGCTTGGTTCCGAAGGTATAACCGTTTTGCACCCAAACACTTCGGTAGAATGTAAAAAGTATTCGGCTAAATGTGGGCGTGTAACACGCCTCTGCCCACCCCTTAAGGTTTTTTTCATTTATAAAAGACACCTCCTGCATTAGGAAAATATCCTGTGTCGTAGGGGACTTTACAAACATATATAAAACGGGCACAGAGAACACCCAGACTCAGAACAACAATTTGTAGATCACACAAAGTGTCGTCCTATGTGGGGATCGGACCCACAACACTCAGCGTAATAGTGACCGGCGTGGCGACCGCTTAAGCCACTACGAAATCCCTGCAGTCAATATAGACGTGAGGGTGTGATGATGAGTATGCTTTTCTAACTTATAGCTTGACTGCACATATGGCGTATTGCGCTGAGTGTGATCCCCTGATCGAACCAGCAACACTCAGCACGCATAAATTTGTGGATCCCACAAAGTGTTGTTGTTGTTGGCATGGGATTGGATCAACAAATTATTTTTCTGAGGATGTCCTTTGTGTCCGTTTCATAAATGTCTATAGAGTCACGCGACAGGATATACGCCCAGTGCGGGCGTTGTCTTAAAAAAAATCGGAAAAAACCCTTTTTAAAAAAAAAGTTGAACCGACTTCAAAAAACACCGACAAAGAGCACTAAAAATTAAAAAATAATTACAAATCCAAGTAAAAAACTATAATAAGTACCCTCAATGTAACAGGTAACATTATAATACCAATAGTCCCTTCTAGTCTGTTTGAAGTCGGTGCCAAGCCAAATAGGTGCTTGATAGGCATGGTAGAATGTAGCGCGGCAGCTGCAACAGTCTTCATGCTGCGCAAAACATGATGAATGAGCTAAAGTGGACGCACATCTCCAATTATATTATTATTTTGAATTCTTTAATAAGTAGTTGATAAGTTTGCGCACGTAATTGATCTGGTTGGTCTTTATTAATTAACAAAATCTTCGATGTTTCATTCGAATTATTTTGAATTCTTAATTTTTCATTGTGCTAATATAAAGCTGACATAGACCAGTATTACTTATTGTACATCGAGCTTGGCACCGACTTCAAACAGACTAGAAGGGACTATTGGTATTATAATGTTACCTGTTACATTGAGGGTACTTATTATAGTTTTTTACTTGGATTTGTAATTATTTTTTAATTTTTAGTGCTCTTTGTCGGTGTTTTTTGAAGTCGGTTCAACTTTTTTTTAAAAAAGGGTTTATTTTACCATTTTTAGTGTAGGATATGAAAATGACATTGGCGTCCAAACTGATCAAGATCAGCTTAAATTCTTTTCTAAGAAACAGTCAAATTCTTGTGAGTTGCAACCGAACAAAATAACTTCCGATTCAATTGACACTGATCTCGAAGGTGAAGATAGGAAAGCTTTAGTGAGACTACTCAACAAATATGCTCAATATTTTATAGAAGGAGTTCCAACTAGAAGGGTTAATACTAGTATGTTAGAAATTAACCTAGTTGACCCACCCAAAATTTAAGAGTTTTTTTTAGAACTATTTTAATAAATTAAGTATAAAATTACTTACAAACGAAATGCGATGCCATCCATAGCAACTAAACGTCTATCCGAATTATTTTAACAAGATAGAATACAAAATTTCAACCTTTTCTTCTTAATACAACGAAAATTACTGTGGTGACATAAATACTGCAAATTCTCTGCGCATCACATCGCGCAGTCTCTGACAGTTGCCATGGTTTGTTTGGCTAAAGAAATACTCGTAGCTAAAACACGTTGTCCGGGCTGTCAAATTCCCAATAATTGTGAGGGTTTCACTCGATTTCTCTAGGATCCCATTATCAGATCCTGAATTGGTGGTAATGGGACCAATTCGGGAGCATACCCTTTCGATTACAAAAAGAATTTTGAAAATCGGTCCACAATTGACGAAGAAATCGCGTAACAAACATACATAAAAAAAAATACAGACGAATTGAGAACCTCCTCTTTTGTGTTTTGGAAGTCGGTTAAAAAGAAAACATACTGTCGAATCAAAAACCCTCCTTTTTTGATGTTGGTTAAAAATCGACTAGCATGAAGCTCCTAGTCGAGACGAATCAAATGAGCACAAACACGGCGGAATTGCTTTATTTTATTACAGAGTTCCCATGGCTATTTACCGTCTCCATCATCAGACCCTGAATATCACATAGGATCGGAGTCCTTATTAATTAGACTCAAACACATTCAAATTCGATGGTATTACATAATTTTGTTACAGAGATCCCATACTCCTAAAACAATCATCATCAGCTTCATCATCAGCTCAGCAACATCAGATGGTGACCATTAGATGCAAAAATCTACATAGATTAAGATAATTTCTGATAAACAGTGTATATGCCTACAAAATTTGAGGGTTTCCCTCGATTTCCCCAGGATCCCATCATCAGATCCTGACCTGGTGACAATGGGACCACCTCTGACGTATGACCTACCAAATAAAGAAAGAATTATTCAAATCGGTTTATAATTGCCGGAGTAATCGCGTAACAAATATACAAAAAAAAAAAAAAAAAAATACAGTCGAATTGAGAACCTCCTCCTTTTTTTGAAGTCGGTTAAAAAAGAAGTTTCTGCTAGAAGTGAGTGATTGAAGCTTTGGCAGAAAAAAATTAGTGGTATTGTTTTCCAGATGGAGTTGTCTTTTTTTAAAGTCTTTTTTTTAAAAAAGGTAAAAAACCTTCCAGAAATTGCAGGTTTGACAAAGTGATCCGCCGATGTCCTTTGTTATAATTAACACTAAAAACAATAGAAAATGTATAAAACGTTTATTGAAAAATTATATATTTATTTCTAAAATCAGGACTCATCACCAAAAAAATATAACTATCAACAATATAATAATATCTATATGTAAATAATTAATATCTATAAATTCATTACAACATAAAAATTATCACATTTCCCAGCACCTTTTTACTTATAATAAATAAAGTTGGATTTCATGTCCAATTAAGATATATTAATACAAAATAATGTATTACTGTAAAGTGAAATCAGTTTTTTATTCTTAAAATATAAATTCTATACAAACTTGTGAAATACTAATTAGTGACGTCACATACCAATGACAAGACGTTATGACGAAATGAGCAACATGACGTCTAAGGATACGAAAAATTTACGCGCGAAAATACAAACTGATAAATTAATAAATAATAATAATAATAAACACACATACGGCAGTCTGATCCCAAACTAAGCAGAGCCTGTACTATGATAACCAGACTGCTGATAAACATACTTATATATTTCTAACTACATACATATTACAGATATATTACACCCAGACACAGAACAAACGATCGTGCTCATCACACAATTATTTGTCCTGGGTGGGAATCGAACCCACGACCTCCGGCTTATCAGCCAGGGTCACTAACCACTAGACCAACAGGCTCGTCTTTATTGAAATACATTTAAATGTCATTTATTAATTTCGGTAATTTTTTTTTACTGTCTTAGGATCAAATTAAAACATTTTTAGAAAAAGTATATTAAGAATAAAAGTGTTGTGCTTATTGTCTAACGAACTTAACAATGGGTTTACTTTATTTGTAACTAAATTCAACATCTAAAATACATCTTATTTTTTTTTATTTATCATAACGTTTCAAAACATTTGCTTCTATTTAGAATACTCATATTAATAAATTGTTCACTTTATTGCCACCATATCAATCAATCAACAGCCCATAATAGTCCACTGCTGGACATAGGCCTCTCCTTAGAAAGGAGGTTTTGGCCTACTATACCACGCTGGCCAGACGGGTTGGTATAGGGTTTGTTTCAAGTTTTCCTTCTCTTTGTAGTGCTGTTGTCTTGTAGTTTGCTCCCTTAGTCGGCTCTTACGAAACCCACGGAATGAATAGGGGTGGTGACATTCCGTATTCTTATGACACAAAACACATATCGTTTTATAACATACCATTACTTTGTCATAATTTAAAACAGATTAATGAATATTTATTTTTGATCACAATTTAAATATAAATTTATTTTTACAGATAATCATTTATATAATCTAATAATTAATAATTGTTCTGTGAGTTCTGTATTAAAGGTATTTTAATCAAATAGGTTTAATGTACTTTTATAAATTGTATGAAGGAATGAGTGCATATATATATTTTAGTAGAGTATTATTAAATTACTAGCTGACCGTTGTATTGCAAAACAAAAAAAAATTAGGGATGGGTCACCCTTACCATTTAGGGGTATGAAAAATAGATGTTGGCCGATTCTCAGGAGTACGGGAACGAACATTGTGACACGAGAATTTTATATATAAGATGTTCACAGCTTAGATGGTGCGTATGACTGCCAGTACACTACATCGCGCCACCACTCTGGTCTGGTCATGGCTCCAGGGTAAGCCATCACATTGGATTGGATGTGTTGGTATACCTGTAATGGATGTTAGTGATGATTCATTCATATTTTAACCAACTTCAAAAAAAAAAGAATATTTGTTAGCTTAAAACTCTGTTATTTATGAAACCATTTGATTTTGAAGATTTTCGATTTTCCCATTTAAATTAATTAACCAAACCCTAAGGGTGGAAAATTAAGGAATCAAGAATACACTTAATCACGGTATAGGCGTATACAAGTCGGTGATACTTTTTTAAATCATCATCATCAACAGCCTATACTAGTCCACTGCTAGACATAGGCCTCTCCTTAGAAAGGAGGTTTTGGCCTACTATACCACGCTGGCCAGACGGGTTGGTATAGGGTTTGTTTCAAGTTTTCCTTCTCTTTGCAGTGCCGTTGCCCTGCTTAGTTTGCTCCCTTAGTCGGCTCTTACGACACCCACGGGATAAATTGGGGTGGTGACACTCTGTATTCTTAATCCGTCACCACACGGACCGGACGACGGATTTTAAATATTGATGATTAAATTTTAGGGTATGTACAGACCTCACCAGGGACTTCCTTTCTAGGGTATACCTGGTTCCCCGGCTATTAGTACCCGAGACGGCGTGCAGCTTTAGTCGGTTCGAGTCCGACATGCCACCGATAGGTGGCATCCGAGGGGATTTCCGCACGTAAAAAAAAAATGGTATGTACAGACCTGTCCATCGCTCATGCCGAGCACCGAGTTGAGGCAGAAGTCGGGCGGCGCCAGCGCGTCGACCAGCGCCAGAGCCTCCGGCGCCACGCGCCCGCAGCAGCGCAGCAGCGCCGCGCGCACCAGCGCCCCCTGCGCCCCGCGCACGTACCCGCCCTGACACATACCACTTCACTTATAGGTACTACACAAATAGAACACACTACACGTGGAAATCATTGCTACTTTTAAATCACATTCATTTGATGAAATGATTGGATTCAGTCACAGCGATTTCACATGTGATTGTGATTTCGTCATAGACAGTTTTTTTTTGTTTTAAAAGACAACGCCCGCATTAGGAATAAATCCTGTGTCACGGGGGACTTTACAAACATGCATGAAACGGACACAAAGAACACCCAGACTCAGAACAACAATTTGTGGATCACACAAAGTGTCGTCCCATGTGGGGTTTGAACCCACAACACTCGGCGTAGTAGAAAGCGGCGTGGCGACCGCTTAAACTACTACGCCATCCGTGCAGTCGAATGGCATTAAAATCAATCAAAATTATTTTTATCTAAGATCTTGCGCGAGCATAATAATAATAGTAATAATTAAATAGTAGTAGTTTTTAAATCAGTCACAGACGCTCTGATATGATTTATAAATCATATGATTTATCACAGATGATTGAGATTTTATGCCATGCCTAGAAAACACACTCGTACTTAAAGTGCGGAGTGAGTCTGATTTAACACTTTAAAGTGTTTTACATTCGAAAGTATCAATGCAATTTAATGATAAGTAATAAACCCACGTGTGCACTACCCCTTGCCATACACCAAAAGTGCTAGTGTGCACGTGGCCTAGCTAACCGCCCTAATTGTGTACAAGTTACGTTTTTAATACAGGTAACACATAAATCTAATACTCACAATATACAATGTTGCCAGATGTTTTTCAATGAGGAAAGTTCCATACAAAGACACCAATGTGAGTAACACATTCGCACAATTAGGGTCCTCAAATGCCAGCGCTGTTTTGTAGAAATGGTTCAATACATAATTCTGAAAAATAACCATTTATTAAACAAAAGATTTTATGCATTTTATATTTACAAAAACTAGAAATCACTACAAAATCCATTCAATGTTACCAACTTTTTGTTTAATTAGTGGCCAGTATAACTTGAGCTGTCATGACATGGACTAACATACTACGACGGGTCAATATATAATATACTGTCCACGTTTACGTAAAGGTAGCCGATTTCATGTATTTTTCAATTTTTGTAACACGTATTGTGTGATATTGTTTGCTTTTTTCACTTCTACATAAACTTTAAGTATTAAAAAATTCAAGTTCTTTTATTATGTACTAGCTGACCCTGCAAACGTTGTTTTGCTATTTACATTATTTATTTATTTATTTTTTTGATTTCGTAAAATCCGTTCTTAGCTGACGTCTACTCGGTGAAAAGAATATTCCTACCAAATTTCAAGTCTTTATCTCTAAAGGTTCCAGAGATATCGTGATGAGTGACTATATACGTGGAAATCTCTTATATATATATATATAGATAGATGTAGATAGATTAATTAATTAAAAATGCATACAAAACTTATCTTCATGTGTTAAACTCTATGTATAAATGTTGTGTACGTGTGAATGTCCTTGTTCTCCACCTTAACGGTTGGATTGATTTTAATATGTGTATATATAAATGTTCGATCCGTGTGGTGACGGATTAAGAATACGTAGTGTCACCACCCTTATTCATCCCGTGGGTGTCGTAAGAGCCGACTAAGGGAGCAAACTACGCAGGACAACATCACTGCAAAGAGAAGGAAAACTTAAAACAAACCCTATACCAACCCGTCTGGCCAGCTCCTTTCTAAGGAGAGGCCTATGTCCAGCAGTGGACTGTTATAGGCTGTTGATGATATAAATGTTAAGTTGGTTTGTGTACACTTCAAAAATTAAAAAGATCTGAACTGATTCTTCTTCTTCTTCAGCCTATCGCAGTCCACTGCTGGACATAGGCCTCTCCCATTGCACACCACTTAGATCGATTTTGGGCTTCTCGCATCCAGCTCCTGCCAGCCATCTTGCGCAGATCGTCACAACACCTGGCCTGTGGGCGTCCTACACTACGTTTGCCGAGACGCGATCTCCACTCAAGAACTCGTTTTCCCCAACGGTTGTCGGTTCTGCGGCTAATAAGGCCAGGGCACTGCCACTTCAGCTTGCTGATCCGGTAGAACTGAACCGAATCTGATCTGTTTAAACTAATCTTTTGACATAATATAGAAACCACTTCAAAGATTGTTTTATGTATTAGTGGCCGGGTACAGCTAGTTACTAACAATTTTAAGTATGATTTAGTTTCGCAAGTAAAAGTGGCTATGTAATAATAATAATATACCTCACACATCTCACACACGGCTGTCAGATCCCAAACTAGGCAGAGCCTGTACTATGGTAACCAGACTGCTGATAAACATTCTTATATATTTCTAAATACATACATATTATAGATAACTTACATCCAGACACAGAACAAATGACCGTGCTCATCACACAATATTTGTCCCGGGTGGGAATCGAACCCACGGCCTCCGACTTAGCAGTCAGGGTCACTAACCACTAGACCATGTAATTGGGTTCTTATTTCATTACTTAAAGATTTTTTAATTCGTTTAGTTTTACGATTGAACCTAATAGATGGCGTTGCAACCGGATTGTAGAAATTTGTTTTACCAGTGTTTTGGTTATATATTTTACTAGCTGACCCGCGCAACTTCGTCTGCGTCTCTCAATAGTAATAATTTTTCTCCGCTTTTGAAACATTCTTCATTGGTGCTCCGCTCCTATTGGTCTTAGCGTGATGATATATCGCCTATAGCCTTCCTCGATAAATGGGCTATCTAACACTGAAATATTTTTTTAAATCGGACCAGTAGTTCCTGAGATTAGCGCGTTCAAACAAACAAACAAACTCTTCAGCTTTATAATATTAGTATAGATTTTGTATTGTCAAAAGCAAATATATTTGTCTGATGACGTCAGTAGAACACTAATCTAAGATATTTCTCACCTCTCCATAGACAACGGACAACGTAACAGCATTAAAGGACTGCGAGTCATTCTTGGCCCAGAAGTTGCTCTTGCCTTCAGATTTGAGTTTGTCAACTTTCTCTGCTGTCATTTTTAGTACATACGCAGTCAACCATTTGTACATGTGAATAAGGTCTGAAATACAGTAACATTAATTAAAATGTATGTAAAATTGTCATAACCGACTGGTTTCGGTCTTGACAACAAATCTTCATCATGGAGCGAAGAAATCTTCCGCGTCAGTGTGAAGCGAATACCTTTTTATTCCAATGATTAGTGTCAAAAAAGGAACAAAAAAAAGGAACAAAATTAATGACATTTTAAAATGATAACAGCTGAGAGTGAGATCCGAGAATGAGAGATTTTTGTTACTAATCTAGGTTTCGCCGATAAAGGCTTGCCTAATGAGGAAATCAACGGCAAACCTAATTTTCATATTACGCTCTCTGTAAAATATATGTCACTTTTTTTATTATTTATTTATCACATAAAACAACTTGACAGAGAAAATGTACAAAACGACAGCTTCTGGAGAAACCACATATGTTTATGTTTGAGCTGTCGAGAGTTTACACTTTATTACAAAGTAAGTGAATGAGGGTAGTTATATACTAAAACTAGCTGACCCGCGCAACTTCGTCTGCGTCTCTCAATAGTAATAAATTTTCTCCGTTTTTGAAACATTCTTCATCGGTGCTCCACTCCTTTTGGTCTTAGCGTGATGATATAAAGCCTATAGCCTTCCTCGATAAATGGGCTATCTAACACTGAAATAATTTTTCAAATCGGACCAGTAGTTCCTGAGATTAGCGCGTTCAAACAAAAAAACTCTTCAGCTTTATAATATTAGTATAGATTTGTCCACTATATGGTATACTAGTTACGAGTACTGTGTGCTTTGAAAACATTACATAAATACAAAATAATCAAATAACAATAGCTACATTAGGTTAAGGAAGTATTGCTTAATTAAGTCATTTGTTTGTTATTACCTTACCATGTAACATTTTGCAGTAATAAACGATTTATTGAAGTAAAAATTCATTACGCACGCTTGACTTGGGGAGTACGCGTTACGAAAAGTATGATCGGGCGAGGCGAATGGAAGTTGAGAGGGAGATATAAGTTAGTGAAGACAGAAAGAGAGTTACGTTTCGTATAGTACTGTAGGGGCAAGAGAGAGGTGCGAGCACACATTTTGTTTCTCTCTTTCTCTCATAGTCAAGCCGTTTTACTTCAGTCGTGTAGTGTAAAGCTCACTCGTTTTTTATTATAATATCTGCAGTTATTATTTGAATGTCATGTATTTTTTCTGATTTTGATTTGACATTGGGAGACATGTGTCTTAAAACCGACGCGTCAGACCGCTTCAATTCTTGATAAGGGACCCCTGTCTGGGGCCCAAACTATTTACATAAAACATGAGCGCAATCGTAACCTTTTTTTTTTTTTAACGTGTGGAAATCCGTCTCCACCGGGGTTTGCGGCAGGGTGGTGTGTCGGACTCGGACCGACTAAAACCACACGGTGTGCCACTCTGCGCCTGTAACAGGAGGGATCCGGGAACAGCTGTTGTTAAGACATCCGGACCCCTCCTAGCGCCGGCCCGCTCCTGTTGCGGGCTCCGTCTCAAAAAATTTTTTTTTTTTTCCTCTCTTTAGGCGACGTCCGGCACACGCGGCCGCCGCCCCCTCGCGGCAGCGCAATCGTTACCTATACCAACCCGTCTGGCCAGCGTGGTATAGTAGGCCAAAACCTCCTTTCTAAGGAGAGGCCTATGTCCAGCAGTGGACTATTAAAGGCTGTTGATGTGATGTGATGAGTGCAACCTTCAATAACTAAGCAAAAATTTTTAGGTGCCGTGGGAGAGCCATGCTTCGGCACGAATGGGCCGGCTCGACCGGAGTGATACCACGGCCTCACAGAAAACCGGTGTTAAGCAATTATTTCGTTGCCTTTCACTGATTGAGTGAGGTTACCTGAGCCCAAATCCCCCTTCCCGCCGACTTGAGCGGGAGGGACTCTAAGGGCGGCAACGCACTTGTGACTTTAGAGTTGTAGGTGTCCATGGGCGGCGGTAGTTGCTTACCATCAGGTGACCTATCTGCTCGTTTGCCCCCTTATGGCATAAAGAAAAGAAAAGAAGGTTCAAGTTTGATCTACTTACTATCTGGATTAAGAAACTCCTTTTCAGTGTTCCACGGACACTTTTCAGAAAGCAATTTATCAACGTTTTCGAGGAATGCTAGTGAGCCCAGTGGTGAGTCAGCTTCAGTAATCTTAGCTCTTCTGGACCACACGTTGAGAAGCCAGTTGCTGGTCTGCTGCAGCAAAAGGCTGTTCTCCCCTTCGTAGGTGCAGTTGGCGTCGTTGTCATTGCGAAGATCACCTAAAGCTGCAGCTAGATAGAGAATTTTAGGATATCAGTTAATAATAATCCTGAATTTCTTAATTTCTTATGTGGCGGGCCTGTTGGTCTAGCGGTTAGCGTTCCTGACTGCCAAAGTCCAGATCCAGAAGTCGTGGGTTCTAAGCAGGACAAGTATTAGGTGGTAACACGTGTCTGGGTGTATATTATCTATAACATGTTTATGTATTTACTAACATATACTCGTAAGTATGTTCCTTCCGTGTGGTGACGGATTAAGAATACAGAGTGTCACCACCCCTATTCATCCCGTGGGTGTCATAAGAGGCGACTAAGGGAGAAAACTACGCAGGACAACAGCACTACAGAGAGAAGGAAAACTTGACACAAACCCTATACCAACCCGTCTGGCCAGCGTGGTGTAGTAGGCCAAAACCTCCTTTGTAAGGAGAGGCCTATGTCCAGCAGTGGACTAGTAAAGGCTGTTGATGATGATGATGATGATGATGAAGTATGTTCAGTGGTCTGGTCACTAGGCAAAACTATTCAGGTTGTGTCTAGTTTGGGATCAGTCGACCCCCTTTAAATCGACAACTGGAAACTAAAAATACTGGATACTATAATTTTTAAGCGACTAATTTTTCCCTTTTTCAGCCTTTAATACTCGATTGCAGGTCATATGCCTCTCCTTAGAAAGGAGGTTTTGGTCTACTGTACTGTTGGTATAGGGTTTGTTTCAAGTTTTCCCTCTTTTTTCTATGCTGTTGTCCTACGTAGTTTGCCCCCTTAGTTAGTTTTTACGTATGGTGTTTTATATTGTTTTTAATTTTTGTATAGTGTGTTGTGCTCTTACACAATATATTAATAATATTTCGGACATCTGACAGACAACGCCATCTAGTTTCAAATTAAGCAGAGCTTGTAATGTGAAAACTAGATTGACTGATAGAATACTTTTTTTTTTGTAATTACATACATATTATACATAGCAAACACCCAAACGCCGAAACAAATATTGGCAGATATTACAAACATTTGGTGCGAACGAGGAATCGAACCGGAGACCTCAGCACAGAAGACGCATAAGCTACCACTGCAGTACCAAAGCAATATCTGATTTTTTTTATTTTGTTAAAAAAAAATATATTTAAACCTTTGAGGTAGCCGTGTCCTCCGCAGCACTCCCTGCAGTTCTGTATGCCGTCGCGCGCCGTCCACCCGAAGATAGGCTTCACGGCTGAAGACAAGGCGTGCAGCTCTATACCACGCTCGGCAGACTTATCATCTCCACCTAGAATACATTACCACTAAAGTGTTTCTACCAAAAGCTCAAATCACTCACTTCTAACAGAAACCTGCCTTAGACTTCTATGACGATTTTTTTTTTTTAATTTTTGTTTAAAGACTCCTGCCGCATTAGTAATGTCCCCCGCAACACAGGAAAATATCCTGTGTTGCGGGGGACATTACAAATATACACGAAACGGATACAAAGAACACCCAGACTCAGAACAACAATTTATGGATCACACAAAGTATTGTCCCATGTGGGGATCGAACCCATAAGCAGCTAATAGTAACTCACAAGTAACTATTTTTACATTGATAATACTAGTAGGCATTCCAATATAACATATATAATTCTATATAAAAGACATTCAGTTTTCATTTACTAGGTTGTAGCCGCGGCTTCTCTCGCGTCAATCTGGGTGTCATTCGTGAGGTCACCTTTTCAGATTTTTAAACCCAGATCAGATATTCTATACTTTCTTAATGTCATTTTTTTTAAATTTCTGTTACTGAATAATTATAAAACAAAATACACAACAACAAGAATTAGGTTAAAATTGACATTCAAATAGGCTGTTGACTCAATTTGAAAACTTGGTTAATTATATACGTTAATTAAATATCTACTTTGTCCCAAAAAACCTATATTTTAAAGAATTTAAATATTTACATTACGTATTTTGTATTTAAAAAATAAACAATTTAAATTTCCCCTGAAAACGCTGAATAGTGTATTTTGTCCCAAAAAACCTAAATTTTAAAGAATTTAAATATTTACATTACATATTTTGTATTTAAAAAAAAAAAAATTTAAATTTCCCTTGAAAACGCTGAATAGTGTCATGGCGTCTTGAATGACGTAACAGTCTGCGAAACAAAACTGTTTACATCTGTGTCCAGTGTCAACTGAAACTGTATTAAGGTGAGAAAATATGCTAAAAACGAAAAACAATAAGGAGTACCCTGCTCAGTTGTATGAAAACGTCAACAACAACAATGTTTTGCGTAGCGTGACGTAACGCTTTCTGATTGGTGTTCGCTGTCACGTGACTTAATGCCTATTTTGTTCGAATTTATTTGTTAAAAATATTAATAATCTTTAACTTTTATGAGAAATAGACTTATTTTTTCTTATCTATGTCATTTATAATTTGAAACTATAAACCAAGCAATTTGTTATTAGTGGACACAAGCCTATTGTTTTTACAAAAGTTAGTTGGTCAGTTAAAGGACATTATAATTACTCACCTGTCATATTACTGATTGTAATACTGATATGCAGTTGACTGAGCCAAACTGAGAATATTTTCATCGCGTACGTCGCTGCCAAGTATGGGAATAAGCGAATTTGCTGAAACCAAACACTTAATAAAAATATAACATCGACAGTAGAGAAAGTTATTAAATAATAATATAATATGTTGGTCTAGTGGTTAGTGACCCCGACTGCTAAACCGGAGGTCGTGGGTACGATTCCCACCCAGAACAAATATTTGTGTAATGAGCACTATCGTTTGTTCTGTGTCTGTGTGTAATCTTATATATCAAATTCTCGTGTCACAATGTTCGTTCCCGTACTCCTCCGAAACGGCTTGACCGATTCTCATGAAATTTTGTGTGCACATCGGGTAGGTCTGAGAATCGGGCAACATCTATTTTTCATACCCCTAAATGGTAAGGGTGACCCATCCCTAATTTTTTTTGTTTTGCGATACAACGTTTGTCGGGTCAGCTAGTTTATCTATAATATGTATGTGTTTAGAAATATATAATTATGTTTATCAGCAGTCTGGTTACCATAGCACCGGCTCTGCCTAGTTTGGGATCAGACAGCCGTGTGTGAGATGTGTGAGGTTATTATTATTAATATTGTACCACATTCACACAACACCAACTAGTCCCAAACTAAGCCAAGCTTGTACTATGGGCACTAGACAACTGATATAAACACATACATACTTTTTTTTTGTAAATACATACATATTATACATAGAAACACCCAGACCAAATCAAACATTAAATTGTTCATGCACACAAATGTTTGACTTGAGCAAGAACCCGCGACCTTTGGAATAGCAGTCCGTTACACAAACCACTACGCCATTCCGTCGGACGACCGAATGGCGTAGTAGTAGTATAACTTATAGGTTAAGTGTTTGTTTTAGCAAGTCTTAGGCTGCGTTTCCACTAGACTTATGAAAGGAAATCCTTTAACGCAGCCTTTTTAATTCACGTACCATATTAGGTATCTTAAAGTTACTTCTTATCACCAAGATGCTGTCTAGTAAAATATATAATTGTAAATTATAAAAGACAATTCGCGCTGTAGGAATATATCCCGTGTCGCGGAGACCTTACTACTGCTTCCTACTGCGCTTAGTGTTGTGGGTTCGATCCCCACAGGGGAAAACACTTTGTGTGATCCACGAATTTGGGTGTGCTTTGTGTCCGTTTCATTTATGTTTGTAAAGTCCCCCGCGACACAAGATTTATTCCTAGTGCGGGAGTTGTCTTATAAAATGATAAATGATAAAAGAATGAATTGTGGGTATATAGGCCTTAGTATATATGTTAACATTAACAAGCTTACCTGTTGTTGGTACTCCAGAACAGGTGTTTCCTCAGTAGCATTCTCAGCAGCGAACTGTTTCCTCACAGCTGAGTACCTGATGGCTATCACTATAGCCTTCAGCAAGTAGCATGTTGATATTGATGTTATGTGTACACGACCCCCTATAAGTCATAGATATTGTTTTATAATCAAAGCAAAGTTGACTTTACAAAAAAAATAGTGTTACTCACGAAGTCATTCGAATTCAAATTACTTCGGCACAGTTGGACCATCTCTACCGAAGTTCGAACGCGAACTGACAGGTAACCGGCGTTAAATTTACTAAAGAACGTAATTTTTTATTTGAACCCACAAACTCTTGATCGCAAGTCCAAAGCCTTAACCACTAGGCTACCGCTTTATTGTTGCGGTGTTCATCATCAACAGCCTTTACTAGTCCACTGCTGGACATAGGCTCTCCTTAGAAAGGAGGTTTTGGCCTACTTGGAACATATTTTAATATCCATAAAATAAATATAAATATTACGAGTATAATCGAAGTAATAGTGCTAGCGAATAGATAAACTCCTGATAAAAATACATTAGAAACAGGGGATTAGTCTGTTTATCTTAGTACGTTTTATAACGTTCTTGTAATTTACAGTTCCCTGATAATTAATAGTCACTATGTCTTGATAATGTAGATATGTAAGTGCTTTTTTTTTTTTTTTTTTTTTCCGTGCTGAAATCCCCTGGGATACCACCTGTCGGTGGCATGTCGGACACGAACCAACTAAAACCGCACGCCGTCTCGGGTACTAATAGCCGGGGAACCAGGTATACCCTAGAAAGGAAGTCCCTGGTGCCCCGACATACCTCGGGTCATCTACAGACGGGTAGACGACCCCCCTGTGCTCCCTGGAAGCGAGCGCGCTTCGCAACGCGCTCGCCGCCACCCCGGCCTGCTTCTGCTAGGGTGACAGATGGCCTCACCTGTCAGATATGTAAGTGCCCTAAATAGAGAAGACAAGCAAACAACAATTTTTTGGGAATGTTTTAGTGTATGAATGTATATTACTTTGACACGCTCTCTAGCCCAAACGGTTTAATGAGAGTGGCACTGGGTATGTGAAAATTAAAAAAAAAACAAACATGGCGATTTTTTTGTGCCAAATCATGTTTTCAAAAATGATTTTTTTTTGTTCAAAATCTATCAAGTCGGGTACCAAAGTAAAGGGTTTCATGAATTCCTTACAAAAATATATACAACATTTATTTAAATGTTATTTAGAACGAGAAATGTTAAAAAAACCAAGTGTGCTTTAGACCACACGACTGAAGTAAAACTTCTTGGCTATGAGACAAAGAGAGAAAGAAAATGTGTGCTCGCACCTCTCTTTCTTGGCCCTACAGTAATATACGATCGTAACTCTCTCTTTCTATCTTCACTAACTTATATCGCCCTTTTAACTTTCGTTCGCCTCGGCCGATTACACTTTTCGTAACGCTTTTACTTCGAAATTTTACTTTAAAAAGTTTAAAAATATAATTAAGTTTGTTAACGTAACGTAAAATGTTCTCTGAGGTACGGAGGGGTCTCAATGTGTAAATAATGATCACCCATCCATAGACTGACCTAGTTAGGATTGCTTAACTTTGCAATTTGCTAACCTACTCGGTTACCACTTAGCCACGAGCCCCAGCGACTGCTCGAGTATGTCTGCGTAATACTTCTATGTGTGAGTGGTAACAAAGAACATACATAGAAATACCAAGGGCGGATCCAAGAAGGGGATGGGGTATAATTTAGAGACCTGACCTATTTTTTGAGCGTTCCAATGATTCACCGTGCGGCTGCCGGGTCAAACGCGTAATAGGACACATGCGACTTCGACAGCGCCTAGGAATTGCGACCCAGGAGTAGGTTTAGGGAGTACTCCTTGCGACGCGTCAGCGCTCACCTCCACTGTCTGCTGTTTTACCCCTCTAGGGGAGTTGGAGCTTGTCGTAAATACGGAATACACAATAATGATCCCCCCGGAGTTAAAAGCCAAATCAACCCCTGATTCATATGCTCAAAAAACACTATCATCCTAAAAGTCAACCAAAAAGTATACCTTTGCCTGACTACCAATACTGACAAAAAAAAATTGAATTTGTGAGTATTTGTACTAAATGCATATATCTGCATTCATTTGCATGCAAGATACGGCTTATCAAATTCTGTAAGTTCAATAGCATTTGATGACCGGTCTGCTCTCAGTTTAAACAGAAAAATATTTAGTTAATAAACTTAATATTTTAGTGTGTAATGTCAACGACACCACTGAACCACACCACTGGGGTGTCTTTTTCTTTTGTAACGGCACCACTTTAATAAAGTTCTAACACTAAACTTTTATCGACATCAAAATATTTTTCATTCATAGGATTAAGAGACCATGACCATTTTAAAAAAGATTTTCCAGAAGTTTCCAGAATTTGCTTTCAAGATAGCAGATGAAATAAAGCAAAGATGCGGAAAAATAATGATTGGGTATTTTAAAATGTCAGATTGTTTTATAAATTAATTGAGTTGTTTTTGTTGTAATGGATACAATTGTTATGTTTTACGAATTCCTCGTGAACTCGACCAATTTCAACATTATCATTAAACATTAACACATAACGAATTGTTTTTTTTTGACGTTTTACATTACTAGTCAGCAGTGGTTTCGTTACCAAAAAAAATCGACAATACACGGGCCTTAGAAACAGTTGTAATTTAGTAAAACACACTTTTTACCCGCCTTTAAAAAGGACCTTTGGTTATCTATTCGGATGTTTATATATTTTTATGTATGTTCGAATCCGTCTGTAAATGGCGGAGTTATCCGCCATTTATAGACGGATCTACAAAATTCTTTTTTTGTTCGAAAGGGGTTTATCCCGAAATCGTTTCGGAGACAGACAACGGGACCCTTTAATCAATGACAGAAAATCAACCGCGATTGCTGCAAGTAGTAGTTTAGTTAGTATTGTTTGAAGTCGGTTCAACATTTTTTTAAAGGATTTTGCTTGTTCCAATTCTTTTTATAGTCTATGAGGCAAACGAACAGACGGATCATTTGATATATATTTTAGTTAAGCGGCATTTATTTTCTAAGTTATATTATTGTTTTCAACACATTGTGAAAATTTATGCGATCAGCTGTCAAAGATTCTGGTCATTCCCGAAGGCATCGCACAAAAGTAGTAACTACATTTGTATTCGTGTATACAGTCTACGCACACTAATACAAGTTGGCGGCCAGGGGGTAGGTCCCGCGCGCTATGGCTGTTTGCTTAATTACATTGCAGTTTTTGACCTATTTCAGTATTCGTTACGACGTCCCTTACACCCTGTATTTTATTTTGCAAATATGAGTAATACATGATAGGTGTTACAGCACATTAAAGCTCAGCCATATTTACCAGTGACATGCATACTTTTTTTGTATTAGGCTAAGTAATCATGCTTTTTATATTCAAAGTCACAATAATATTAAATTTTAACATTAGGTAATAAAAATGAATAATGAATGACACAGTGGTAAACATAGAACATAAACTGCACAGTAGACTAAGATAATACATCCATAATCATAGCATTTAAATAAAAACATCCGATAAAAATTCTGTTACACGTTAGTAAGTTTTATTTACTCTTAAATATAACTGTTCCCAACTCTTTCCACCCACCTGACAATTTTTAAGCTATTGCACAGCTTCTATCGCGGGCCTTGAGCGTGGAGACCGAATCCAGAAATTCCGTAACGAAAATAACCTAACACCCGCCACTCCGACCGGCACAGTGGTGATACTTTTTAGTTTTGCCATCTATCGATGAATAGCAGAACTTTTAATGACTTTTTTGAAATATCACGCTTGTCTCTAGTTCAGCAAATCGCCTCTAGGTGGCATTGGTTGTGACGTGGTATTTTCCAGATATTTAGAAGATATCAAGTCTCTCAACTTATGTTTCTTATTTCAGTTACCATAAACCTATAGTTTCAATGATAAATATTCCTGATTAACCTACATGTATTGTAAGATAATAAAAATATTTTGAACAATATTAACTTCTCATTTATTTAATAAAAGAAAAAAATATTGTTTTCTTATCGGCCACCACGCTCAAAAAGTGTAACTTGAATTAATATCAAAGAAAAAAAATACTGCATAAATAAATAATTATAATTGCATAAGTTGATAAAAAATGCTATGCAATAGCTTTACCGCGGCAGTCCCCGAGTGCCACACGTCTTTTTTTTTTAATATAAGAAATGCCATGAGTGCCTAATAATGATTTCAAAGATTATAAACTGTAATGTTATGCTTTAGCTCACCTGACAAAATGCCAAGTGCAGCTCCAAACCTCTTGCTAGGGTCCCTAAAAGGAGTCCGGTAATCACCGTTGTCGTCAACCCCACCCAGTTTGTCCAGAGCTGCCTCCTTGGGTAAGTGGTAATTGTTGAACATTACGAAGCTGAAAGATTATAACTGGTAAGAAACTGACGTCCATCTTGGGAATTCATTCTCGAATGTTTTTGCCTATTTTACTTAAAGACTAACTTAATTTTGCTCTTCTATGGTTTTTTTTATGATATAGGTGACTCAGAAATCACCAGCGCCCTTTAAGGCAGGAGTACGCTCGTTTCTTGTAGGTCGTATCGGTCCTATGAATACTCCCACATACATTTATTGCCAGCGCAAAATATAAGTTTGTAAATGTAGAGATTGATGAACGAACGAATGGAGCATAAAGCGATTTATATTTGGAACATGAACATAATTTGGAAATTATATCTTTACTTTATAGCTGTAAGGTTCTCTATAAACTTATCATGTTAACATACCCATTGTCAATGCCATTCAGTCCAACCTTCTCCCCAATATCGCCGACAATCACTCCAGGGTATGGTTTCAGAGTTTTAGGGTCTCGGATCGGCACAACAAACGTGTGGAGGCCATGGTTCTTGCCCTTTGACACTAGCATAGCATAGACAATTGCGTGAGTTGCACATTTACCTGTGTAAATAAATACATTGATTAATTCTCGACAGCGCATAGATAATAGATTAATTTTGTTACCAACTTTATGTACTTCTAATTATATTCGTTGCGAATTCTTTCTTATTAAATTAGGTATCTGCTGAGTGTCGAAGATACCTCATCTTCGACACTCAGCAGATGCCAGCCTTGATGTGCTAGTGTTTTTTTTAGGTGAATACTCCATGACATCCATTCTTGTATTATGAATGTGGAAGTGAGTTTTATTGTTACGCTTTCACGCCTAAGCCACTAAACCGATTTAAAAAATCCTTTTGCTATTAAAAAGATATATTATCAGAGACATAAACTACTTTTTACTGCGATATCCGAATTTTACACGGACGGAGCCGTAGGTAAAAGCTAAGAGGGTATAAAACAGTTTGTAATATGTGTGCGGGGTAATCGGAAAATTCCAAATAACGTGCCGTTTCATTCGTTGTATGGAAGTTATTATGTATTTGGAAGAAGTTATATCAGGCAAAGCAATGAGGATAATAAAGATGTTAATTATTAAACATCTCTGTTCAGGTATAAAAAAATATGTTTCTTCTGTTAAATAAAACTCGTGATTCAGACATTGACATCGCGAATCGATTAAAGAATTTAAAACTAAAATAACAAATATTTTGTGTCCATCAACCTTAACCCCAAACAAAGAAATAAAATCGATTTAGAGTAGTATTAATTCAAACAGTTTATTATTAAGTATACTTTTCTTTAGTTTTTTTTCCTGTTTAATTGTTTTTAGTTTACTACTTTTTACACAACTACATTACAGTAAATACTATGTACACCGTAATTGTCATACATATCAGGTATAATGCCACATATTTTCAAAACTAGTTATAAGTATAATATGTATGATGTGGTGGTACTTATTAATAAATAAATAAATAGCCCGTTTAAGGATCATCAAGAACGGGACATGTATCATTAAGAACGGGGTAAAATCATCAGAAATAACTCTATAGATAGGAATATTTGTATACGACACATCAATATATCCAGAAATAAAAGATAACTACAATTTGACTATGAAGGCTTACCTAACGCGCCAACCCAGAATTTAGCAGCTTCAAAATCAGCACTATGCATAATGAACTGTTTCTTCTCAGGAATGTAGGTAGCAGTAGTTCGCATGCCCTTCGCATTCGAACCATGGGAAACTTCTGTTAGCGCGAAACACCCTCCAATCTTTGCTTTAGCCGCGTCATCTATAAAATGATAATGGTGTGGCTTGCCATTGCCTTGGATAGCGTTGGTGAACATTCGGAAAGTGAGAGACACTTTTACGGCTAAGGAGCTGTCGAACATGAACATAGCTTCGCTTTCAGCTTGCAGCAGACTTGGATCAATCACTATCTGGAAAGTACAGTTTAATTAACATTGGTCCTTCCGCGTTATTGTTACGTATCCGCGACAAATTTAAATGGTTTCTTTATTATTTGTAATATTACATCTTACTCGTATTTTGGCTCCATATGCTCGAAACGTTAATGAATGCATAAACTTTTTTTTATGTCATTTTCTTCGTTACTTTAGTTACCGGCTTGTGATTTTTAGAATAAATTTTTGTCTTACATTTATTTTATATTTCTAACAATAATTGTTCTGTAAATCATATCAATTCATTTATATATGACGGTCTTTTAGGTGTAGTGGTTAGTGACCCTGACTGCTAAGCCGGAGGTCGTGGGTTTGATTCCCACCTAGGACAAATATTTGTGTTATGAGCACCATTGTTTGTTTTGTGTCTGGGTATAATTTATCTATAACACGTGTGTATTTAGAAATACATGTTTATCAGCAGTCTGGTTACCATAGTACAGGCTCTGCCTAGTGTGGGGTCAGACGGCCGTGTGTGTGATGTGTGAGGTTATTATTATTTTATTTTTAATTTATCTCAGCTCAAGGCTGGATTTAACTGTATTTACGGGCAAAAACCAAGTAAATACACTCAGGTGTGTGTTTTGGTTTTGTAAATGTAGATGATGGTTGCTGTGTGTGTTGTGCTTTTCCGTTTTCTCAATATCCATTAACTTTCTAACTGTTCTGCATAATATATGTTTAATATTGCTGCTTTCTGTAGGTTTATTATTATTACCATATCTTGACGACTATAGGTACTATGATCTACTGCCTCTATCTAGCAGGCGTGTGTTACTAGAATTGAGTTTTTTATTCGCTATTGTTAGAGGTGAAATTGATAGTATTTTAAATACACCCAAAGCTCGTACTAGACATACTTGATCAATGTGCCTCTACACCGCACTAATTATGGTAAAAATGCTGATTTCACTCACTTTGTACCGATCAGAGGGCCTAGTGTCAGTTTCTTTCACATAAACTCGCTCGTCACGGTGACCGCGTTCGGCGTTGCGATTGGTCCGCGCTAAAATCTTCACCAATCACAAGGCCAAACGCGTTCGCTGTCGAGAGCGAGTAGAAGTGAAAGAAACTTACACTAAGCCCTCTGTTATAATAATTTGACGACATTGACATCTTCCACATTTTAAAACAGTCCTTTAAAAAAACGAATCACTAAAAGGTTGCAATTACACTTTTAAATCCAAGTCAAGATTATTTTATAAGTTATTTTAAGGGTTCCGTACCTCAAAAGATAAAAAGGAACCCTTATAAGATCACTTTCTTGTCAGTCTGTCTGTCTGTCCGTGTGTCACCACCAATTTTCTCAGGAACGGATAGACCTAGCAAGTTGAAATTTTTTTTTTTTTTTTTCTACCACATTCACACAACGCCATCTAGTCCCAAACTAAGCAGAGCTTGTACTATGGGTACTAGATAACTGATATAAATACATATATACTTTTTTTTTGTAAATACATACTTATTATACATAGAAACACCCAGACCAAATCAAACATTAAATGTTCATGCACACAAATGTTTGACTTGAGCGGGAATCGAACCCGCGACCTTTGGAATAGCAGTCCGTTACACAAACCACTACGCCATTCGGTCGTAAAAAATTTATACCAGATGCTGAGGTTTATGGTCCCTATTAGGTGTATAAAAATCAAGGTCCTGAGTCAACACGATAAAAAGATATCGGCAAATTTCGATTTTCGCGAAAACTTGTAAGTACCAAAATTTACCTTAATTTTGACCTTTTTTTATTTTTCAGATTTTCTCTTTACCTTTTAACCAAAATTGACAATTCTAGGTCAACCGGAAGTACCCTATAGGTTTTGGGTCGAAAACCTATATAGTAGTTCACGTTGACCTAGAATCACGAAATTTGGCAAAAAGAAACGTCTTACAGCACAAATAAAGGAATAATGCCAAAAAAATAAAAAAGTTTGAAAATTAAGATAAATTTTGGTACTTACAAATTTTCGCGAAAATCTACGTAAAATCAGGGTAGGTACGGAATCCTCTGCGCACGAGTTCGACTCGTACCTGACCGGTTCTTCTTTTTTGTAAGAAAACTTCTCTCTGCACAATGTACTTAAATTAGAAATAGTATAGAATATTTTATAACTACCTATGTATTAAGTGGTGCACGCAATTTAACTTGTCGGGAAACTTAATTATTGGCCTAAGAGTCAATTGCAATGGTTAACTTTCACATCACACACATCAACAGCCTTTAATAGTCCACTGCTGGACATAGGCTTCTCCTTAGAAAGGTTTTGTCCCACACTACCACGCTGGCCAGACGGGTTGGTATAGGATTTGTGTCAAGTTTTCCTTCTTTTTGCAGTGCTGGTGTCCTGCGTTGTTTTGCGCCTTTAGTCGGCTCTTACGACACCCACGTGATGAATTGGGGTAGTGACATTCCGTGTTCTGAATCCGTCACCACACGGACTTAACTGTCTGTGTTAACTTTAACTTTACTGTTTAACTGGGACTGGACTGTTTAACTTTACCCATGAAATATGTAATGTAGCTGTTAAGTTTCCCAGAAATAAAAATGTAAACTATTTGTTTGCCATTATTTACATGTTTGTACTATCTCTATGATGCTCCTATGGGCAAACGAATAAGGCCTCAATTCTGCTATTTTAATGCAGTATCAATAGACTGTCGTCGGAATAGTTTTGCATTTTTCACGATGACTCATCACTGAACTGTCACTGATACAGAGGTCGTCGATGTTTTTGTAATGGTTTGGTAAACGGTACATTTCTAATTTGAAAGATATCACAATGTTGTTAATATCACCATTGATAAGCCATTGTCACTACATTCAGTGGACACTGTAAATTTATGTTAGTAGAATACCGATATTTTGACGAACGTCAATGGCATCTCAATCGCTTGTCAATGGAATGAAAGTACGTTAACATTAAATACTGAATTGAGGGCCAGGCCTGATGAAGTGACTACCATCGCCCATGGACACATGCAAATCAAAGGGACACAAGTGCGCTACCTTTTGAGGACCTAGCCCCAGGAATTCATAAGTTGAAGGGGAGGGGTAAGCTAACATACTCAGCTCAGTGAAAAACAACAAAATAAATGTTTATGTATGAACTTGAGAATTAAAATCAGTGTCTAGAAATACTTTGTTTAAATCCTTAATTCATTTAATCAAGATCACAGGTCATTGGAAACAAACACAACATGTAATATAAAACCAATGCATACCTATATGAATAGATAGTAATTTAAAATGTAATACGTATGATAAAGTATTAAGTTAGCAAGTAAAATCTAGTTTTTTTGACCAATGTGGTCTTATTGCAACTTGTAATTGTATTATTCGAAATTCTATTACTACTCTAGTTCTTTTACTAAAAGAAGAAAGTAAAAGTATCTGACATATATGTGAAAAAATTCGGAAGAAAACAAAATATATCGCAGTAGTACATGATGTATCGGATTATCGTAGACTAGCTGACCCGCGCAATTTCGTCTGCGTCTCTCAATAGTAATAAATTTTCTCCGTTTTTGAAACATTCTTCATTGGTGCTCCGCTCCTATTGGTCTTAGCGTGATGATATATAGCCTATAGCCTTCCTCGATAAATGGGCTATCTAACACTGAAAGAATTTTTCAAATCGGACCAGTAGTTCCTGAGATTAGCGCGTTCAAACAAACAAACAAACAAACTCTTCAGCTTTATTATATTAGTATAGATATATCGTGTTATTAAAGGGTTATTTATAAAAGAAACCACTCGACGCTGGCCCTTTTACAATTCTATTCATAAAGATTTTAATCACACGTAAAATAGAGACATTAGAGATCAGAATTAGCTGCGAATATTGCAGACTGTCGCATTCGCTACCACCGAGGCAGTTCTACAACTAAGGATAGCATCTCTTAGACTAGGTTCAATTTTGGACGGTATTAAATTTTTCGTTTAATTCCAATGGTCAGTATAACTTGAACTGCTATTGTTTTTTTTTTTATGTTAGAGGGGGCAGACGAGCAGACGGGTCACCTGATGGAAAGTGACTATCGCCGCCCATGAACGTCTGCAACTCAGGAATCACAAACGCGTTGCCGGCCTTTTAGGAAGGAGTACGCTCTTTTCTTGAAGGTTTGAAGGTGGTATCGGTCCGGAAATACCGCAGACGATAACCCGTTCCACAGATTGGTTGTGCGGGGCACAGAATGGTTGCACAGAAATTTGTATTATGACAAATCAAAATATATGTATACTGGTATACCTACTTAGTTTTATGTACCTAACTGTTTTTAGAAGGCATAACTCTTCACCTTTATTATATTTAGTTTCATATAGGTATTATTATGATTCATTAAGTTACTAAGCGGAAACACAAGAGGGCGCTAGTAGTAACATAACAATCACTTTAATAGTATTTGACAACTTATAAAATAATCTGGAAAGTATAAAAATGGAGGAAATTATGCAAGAGCTTCGAAAAATTCGAAGAGATTTAGATGAACAGAAAGCCGCAATAGAAAAAAGTGGGGAGAAAGTGACAGAAAAAGTTACACAAAATATAAACTGCATATTGGAAGATAAGTTTAAACTATTCAATGAAAAATACGAACATCTAAGGGAAAAATGTGAAAATCAAGAAAAACGACTATATTTTATAGAAAAACAGGCGAGAAAAAACAACATCGTCTTTTTCGGAATTAAAGAAACAGAAACATCATATTCTAACCTAGAAAGTCTCATAGTGAACTTTATCAAAGAACACTTCTCTCAAGAACTAGACCGCAGGGATATTCAAGAAGTTAGGAGAATAGGCAAGAAAGGGGAAAGACCTCGACCAATAATTGTCACTTTTTGTACACTCGGCACAAAAATTTATTTGTTTAAAAATAGAAGTGCACTAAAAAATACCGGTTACTACATAACGGAAGATTTCCCACAAAATATCCTAGAGAAGAGGAAAGAGCTTCAAGTACAAGCAAGAATC